TGCGTCATTCCGCAGCTCACGGTCTCTGTTCTTCCGGGCAATGCTGCGCCGGCCAGCGGGGAAGTCGTGGGGTTCAGGGTTTAGCATGCACTGGGTTCTTGTTAACTAGGACCTAGCGTAGGCCCTTATTCCCTTTTTCAGGGGTTCAGGTTCCCTTATAAGCCCCTTTAATCCAAAAAGGGCACCCTTCTTGTTCCTAGGTTACTCGTGGGTTTAGTTAAGGGATTTATAATTTATGCTACCATAGTAGGGACCCATAGTAAACAGAAGGTTTTTCTTACTATGGTAACTTAAATTAGAGCGCAGTGCAGGGCTGAGGATTTACAGTGTAAGGGTTTCGGGTTATGGGTTTAGGGCTTAAGGGTTCAGGGTGTAGGGTTTCTAGGGCATAGGGTTCAGGATTCAGGGTTTCGGTTTTCTGGGGTTCAAATCGCGACGGTAGCAATGCTTTTATCGACCGACTGGTGTCCGCGTCCGTATATACAAGTATAGTAACCCAAGAAACAAAACACTCACACCCATGCCTCGACCACAGCCCAATATAGTCTTCGCCCTGAGTACTGCATTCAATCAGCTCAGACGCCCGATCCCGAAATCCTTGAAGGCCCAGTCTCGAAAACTAGGACCAGAGTAGGCCCTTATTCCCTTTTTGAGGGATCAGGTTCCCTTATAACCCCCTTTAAACCAAAAAGGGTACCCTTTTTATTCCTAGGTTACTCTTAGGTCTCGAAAACCGCAGCTGAAAGTCCGAATCTCAAACCCAAGCCCCGACGTCGAACAACACCCAAACCCTCAACCATGAAGCCGCCAACCCTGAATCCCTATACCTAAAGGGAACTCCAGAAAGTTGGAATATGGTTTCATGGTAGGATCCCCTATAATTTACCATAAAGGGTTTAGGATAATCATATTCCAACTTTCTGGCTTTTACTGTAGACCTACCTAGAGTCTCCATTGTAGTTCCTTTTTTTGGCTTAACCAGTTTGAGGGTTAGGATCCTAGAATAGAGGTTTTTTTAACCAAAAAGGAACTACAATGGAGACTATAGGTAAACCCTAGACTAAAGCCTGAACCTGGGCTCATGGACCCAAACCCTAATAGGCCGCACGCCCTAGGGTAGTTTTCCTTCACAGAAATTACAACGCTGCAAGAGTTACTAGACCCTACAGCGCGAACTAGAAACCCCCTCTAGAGTTCTACATCTCCTTCAAGACCTTACAGAGCACTGTAAGCCGTTGAAACCTTCAAGAGAGCCTCGCCGACCCGATGAAATTCCTTGGAACAACCCCTAAACCCCGAACCCTGAACCCAAATCCCTACTTCTGGCCCTACATGGAGCCTTTGGGACAAGGCCCCCGAACCCTAAACCCTGAGCCCTTCAAAGAGTCCGGAAGGTGCCACCTCCAGCCCTCGAGATGCAGAAGAGCCTTCGAAGATAAATTTCAGGGTTCAGAGGTTTGGAGTTTTAGGATTTAGGGGAATAGGGTGTAGGGGTTCACGGTATAGGGTTGTATGGTTTGGACTGAGTTTGCACTCTGTTTTTTTGGGGGTGGGGTTCAGGATCAGGGATTGGGGTGTTGGAGTGTCGGGTTTTGGGATCGGGATGATGGGTTCTATGTGTTTACCTGTTTTTGCGCCTGGTGTCACAGGTAGTTAATATTTGTGTTGTAGAGGTTCATGTTGGGATAAGGTAAATCTCCCATGGTGTTTAGCGTGTTACTGCTGTTTCAGTGGCTAAGAATACAGTTTTTTGTAAGGTTTTGTGAGGGCGTTGTGGCTGCCTTTGGCGGTTTGCTTCTCCAGGCGATAGGTCCAGGGTTTGTATGACACCCTTTCACCGCTGAAACTTCTGTTCTTTGGGTTGATCTGACACCCATCAATCCAATTCTTGGGTTCGCAACGTCAAGTTCGAAACTTATCTAGGATGCCCAGTGGTACCCTTATTCCCTTTTTGTAGTCCCAGTCCCTTATAAAGATCCCCAATGCCAAAAAGGGAGCCCTTTTTATTCCTAGGTTACTGGGCATCCTAGTTTTAGATAGCAGGCATGGGTTCCGCATGGCCCACAGCGACCGAAGGATGCATTTTCCTTCTGAAATGCTAATGAAGCCTTTCACAGAATCCGTATAAGCCAGTTTCAAGATGCAATCAAACTCATTCCCTTAACCATATAGCATTATGTAGTCCTGACTCGATTATGCTTCCCCCCCTCCCGCCTCCTCTGGTGCAAGACTAACCTTGCACGACACATTCAGTAAAATTAATATCTCCTGCACTCGATTTAGGGATTCCCTAAATTCATGAATTCCCCTTAATTCTTCAATTCCTACCCCGGCATGTCCTGGAGTTAGGGATTTATTTCAGACTACCGAAACTCCCATAATTTCCTTAATTCCAATTCCTGCCCCCAAGTCCTGGACGTAGGGGTTCTTGGCATGGGGTAAGGAATTTAGGATTTAGGGACCCAGAGCCTCCAAAACCCCTTAATTAAGGAATATACCTTAATTTATAATAGGATCCCTATCATGATTTTAAGGTATATTCCTTAATTAAGGGGTTTTGGAGGCTCTAGGGAGTTTGGGGCCCGGGGTGTCGGGGATTTAGGGATTCCCGCTCGCGAGGTATGGATTTGGGGAATTTCTCACGGAATGCAGGGATTTAGCGGCTTGATTCCTGCTTATGGGGTACGCAATTCAGGAATGTAGTTTAAGAGATGGCGACCGATTGGATACGAGTCTCTGTTGGCGAAACCACCGAGCAAAGAAAGCTCGTCCCTTACCATCGCGATCATGCACAGTGGTGTTTCGGAGGCGTCGGTGCTTATCGGAACGCCAGTGATGACATGACGATGGTGACATTGGCGTAGTAGAACCAATCAAGACGAAGAAGGCCTTTTCAGATGTGTCAGACCACGAGACCCCGACACGAGAACGCTGGACTGCTGCGAGTTTTCATCAGAACCAGCTGCGGGTGGTTAGCGACAATTCCAGGATGAACCAAGCCCACGAACACATTCAGGGCCATGCTTGCTCCTGGTGGGGTTCACGTCTGTATATGGGAGATTCCGAAAATAGGGGACCCTAATGTAGCACCCTAAATAGTAGGATCCATTTTATAAGGACCCCCAAAATGAGGACTCCCATATCCATATATATATATATATATACACACACATGATACGATAGATCGACTTCGTGAGCCATGTCGTGTTGGTTGGGTCCTACGTATTTGTGAGGTTTAGGGTTTAGGGTATTATAGCTCTCTGGTTCACAAGATTGTTGTCTAAGTCTGATCCGTTATATAGCTCTAAACCCGAAGTCCTAATCCCTGAGTGACGTTACTATATATGTAATAACCGGGACAGCCGAGGAGCGGCAGCAGCAATCTGGCGCTCTGTCTCAGTACAGGGGCTGGGGCGTTCAGGGTATTTATTACCCAGAGACTCCAATAGCCCTTCATTACGGAATATACCTTAAATTAATAAATATATTAGGGGTCCTAGTAAAAATTTGAGATATATTCCTTAATTAAGGGGCTCGTTGGTGTCTTTTAAAAAAGGGTTGACAGGGCTGTATACCTATAGTCTCCATTGTAGTTCCTTTTTTGGTTAACCAAAATCTCTACTATAGGATCCTAACTGGTTAGCCAAAAGAGGGAACTACAATAGAGACTCTAGGTAGGATCTTGTAAGATGTTTATGGAGTGCTTCTCGGTTTTCTCAGTTGTTGATATGTTTTAACGTACATACACAGTCTTTTCTTGATTTTGTTCATGCGGGTTCTATCTAAGGAGTTGCTGGGTTCCCGCGGCAAGATAATTTCGCATGGGTGCAGCCGCGGAGTAAGATCGGCACCAAAAAGCCCGAGTTGGAGGGTGGGGGGAGCTAGTAAGTCAGTAGGTATGTGATAAGTACCATACGTGGGATTCTTGTTGGGGTCATGATGCTTCTACGTCTTGAAGTTAATAAAGTACTCACTAAGTCCCCCGGCCCTCCAATCAACCCTACCTGAGTCGCAAACAACTCCTTCTTCGGAGTTCCTTAGATAATTCCTCCGAAGGTTTCTTTCAAGGTTTCTAGGCCCTAAACTACAAGCAGGTAATGTCGCGCGTGTTGTTAGGTATGAGAGCTTCTTCTCAGAAACCGCAGTCGAAGCCCGCACTTTTGAAGTGCACAGCCGGAAGGCTTAGAGACCATGTTCAGCTCCATAGGATGCAGAGCGTTCTGAGGGTTGTTGTCGCATGACTCCAACCCCAAGGGTCCAACGGTTGATGATAAAAAACCTGCATGACCCATTACAAAGAATATACTATAATTCCCATAGTTTCGGGTCCTTAAGCTAATGCTGGTTTTTATCATCAACAGAAGTACCTGATAATCATATACTTCCCCCAAAATCCTAACCTACATCACTACTATCTTAACACCGAGTACCTAATTATTGGGTCCTTTGGACCCTTGGGGAAACATTCATGCCTCCTGTCCTCCCTCACCACGTTTCGCCGTTCCGCAGGCGATTCGCACTCATCAATCCAGACCCTTTTCCCACGTGGTGCAATGCTGTACGGTTTGGGGTTCAGTCTTCCAAAAGACAGAACATGCAAGCCACCCGCTCGCGACCCGACCTCAGTTTGTACCAAAAGAATTGCAACGCCCAATGTGACTTGATCTGTACAGCTCCCAGATGTGCAACGCCGAATCCTGACATGTCAGGTTCTGAACCACATGCAATGCCGAACGAAGAACTAAATTCTGAGGTCATCAAACCGTGATGCCAAGTGAATTGTTCAGCATGTACTTCTGTTCAAGTAACTAGATCGATCATGATGTTCAAAAACTGAAAAACCCACGAAACTGAGCTGAAATTACGTTCCCTATATCACCGTGCAGCGGTTTGATGACACAGTGACACAGGGTTAAGAACCAAAACCAACGAGCCAAACCAGAAACTTTGAATCGGCCTCGCAACCTCTGAGACAAAGAATGCAAAACTAATCTTCTGAGATGGTGCCGCCTACACCCTCTGCTGGCATGGCCAGCAGGCAAAGTGCACCCCTGCAATTTTCCAGCTTGTGGATTTATGAGGGTCTATGGTTCACCTTTAAGTTGTATCAAGCGAGCCTGCAGTCTATTGGCTTACATGCTTTGTTCGAAAACGTAGTGCTGTGCCCCGGAGCGGGGCAGCGCGGGGGAGGGTCCTGGTGAAGCAAAAGGATGAAGTAAGATACAGGAGCCTGGTGCTTAGGGTTCCATCTGGGCGTGCAAACTTAGAGGCCCTGGGGACTTAGTAAGTATGTCATAAGTAGAGTTATAAGCCCCCTAATGGAGTTACCCCAACTATAATCAAATCCTAAGGGTCCAAGTCCCTAATTATCTCATACTCTCCCAAACAGTAACCTACATAGCTATTCTTGAAAACCTAAGTACCTACTAGTTGGGTCCTTTGGACCTTTAGGGCTACTTAAAGGGTCATGGGACTTAGTAACTAGGGTTATAATTAGGGTGACTATACTTCTCAGTACTGATAACCCCAATTAGGGTACTTATAACCCTACTAAGTCCCATGATCCTCCAAGTAAATCCTAAACCCTATAGATCCCTTTCAGGAACCCTACAGATCCTTATAAGGATCCCTTAAAGGTACCCTACATGACCCTCCAAGTACTTTTAACCGACTCCCTAAGTCTCTTGGGCCTCCAAGAGCCAAGAACCTCAAAAGCACTCTTCGAGTGCTTAGACCCTGAGTGCTTCGGTCTTTTGGGCTAAAGGGCTGCAGTGTTTCGAGGGTAGTATAGAGGCCTTAATTACCCCGAGGGTCCAGGTACCCAAGAATCACATACTCTCCCAAATCCTAACCTATTCCTAAAACCGAGTACCCGATTATTGTTATTGCCTGTACTATTGTGGGGTGGGGGGGTTCCTTATTATTTTTATTATTGTTAGTTATGGCAAAATACACCCCAAAACCCTATTCTGATTAGTAAGGCCTTTTCGTGGTTTCCTAAAAGCCATCGAATCTTGGCACCTGGGAGCATCGAGGCACCGTGATCTACCTTAACCGACATTCACCCATTTTATGTAGGGTCCCTAGAAGATTCTATTGTAGGGTTTATAACAAGGACCTACAAACCTCAACAGGTTATGGTAGTTGAAGGTATCACGAAGTTTACTAGCGCACTTCAAGTGTGAACTTGCAGACTACATGAAGCCAAGAGATCGCCCGGACCCATGCCAAGCTTGGGACCTACCACCCAGAGACTCCAAAACCGCTTAATTAAGGAGTATACCTCAAGTTATATGAGGATCCCTAATATGATTTAAGGTGTATTCCTTAATTAAGGGCTTTTGGAGTCTCTGGGCAGGGCTCTCCAAGTGGCCTGTTACAGAGCTCCTATGGTCCTTTATATACCAGGTTCCTCAGCAGTACCCTTTTGACCTTTCTTCGTTTGGCGTCTCCTTATTATTCAAAGTGACTATTAGGAAAAAGGGTACCCTGATTCTTAAGGGTTGCTGGGAACCTGGTATTGGCTACTGAGAGGATGTTTTAAAGTAGTTGGGGGGTCCAGGTAGAGTTTAGGGTTTGGGTTTTTATGGTCTAGAGTTCAGGTTTTTCCAGCCCCACATCGGAAATTAAAAAAGAGAGACAGGCCAACATCATAGCACTCAGCTTGCGACAACAAGCGAGTTTACGTGTTTTCTGCTCCTTCCTTAGTGGCTGCTGACCCTGACCCCTAAAGCCTTGAACTCTAAATTGTGAACGTGTGCAGGTGCTCCGTGCTGAAGGCACCCTCGAGAGGTGGATTGCGCCTTTGCTTCACCTGTGATTTGTTTAGGGTTTCGGGTTTAGGGTTTCACGCCCTCGAGCACCCTAATCCCTAGACCGTAACCCCTTCCCCCTTTTACTAAGCACCCCCTCAATAATCACAATACACTGTGGCGAATCCTCCCAAAATCATCCTTGCCCTTTAAAACACAGTAGGGGCCTCAATGGGAGGAAGTACTCGTGTTCTTGACAAGCCAGCACGCCGGACAAAGCTTCTTCCTGTACGAGGGGTTATAAGGCCTGCTTGAATGATGATGATTAGAGTGCTTGGCCTGTAAACGGCTGTGAGAAGACTTTCACAAAGTCTAAGTATTGTCCCTCGTCCATCCCGGATTCTACTTGGAGGGTCGGGGGACTTAGTAACTAGGGTTATAATTAGGGTGATTTTACTTATAATTATTTGTAACCCCAATTAGGGTACTTATAACCCTACTTACTAAGTCCCATGATCCTCCAAGTACCAAATATTGCAAACCTGAGCGCGGAAAGCTTGCAGACGCAACTCTGCATCCAACAGCCTGGTTGTCCCAAGCCTCCGACATCCATTCATTTCATTTTTTTTGGGGTGTCCTTATTATAGTCATAGTGTAGAGGAGCCCAAATACCCTATTCTAATTTCTAAGGCCCCTATATATATTAGACGAATGCAGAAGGATGCTTGCCAAACCCTGTTCAGCCCATGAGCCTACCAATCAAAAACCACGGTTAACAACGACAGCGAAAAGCTGTTGACCAAAGAGCGTTAGCAGGAGTAATGGTAAAAATAAAAAAATACTAATAATGATAATATTAATAATAGTAGTAGTAGTAGTAGTAGTAGTAGTAGTAGTAGTAGTAGTAGTAGTAGTAGTAGTAGTAGTAGTAGTAGTATTAGGAGCAGTAGGAGTAGTAAGAGTAGGAGTAGGAGTAGGAGTAGGAGTCGTAGTAGCAGTAGTAGTAGTAGTAGTAGCAGTAGTAGTAGTAGTAGTAGTAGTAGTAGCAGTAGCAGTAGCAGTAGCAGTAGCAGCAGCAGTAGCAGTAGCAGCAGCAGTAGCAGTAGCAGTAGCAGTAGCAGTACTAGTAGTAGTACTAGTAGTAGTAGTAGTAGTAGTAGTAGTAGTAGTAGTAGTAGTAGTAGGCCGACGTCCTTTATTTGACGCCATATTTTTCCATGTGGTGGAAATGGAGACATGAAGAATCCGTGGCCAGCGCAAGGAATTCATGTATTTTGACATGTTCACATGGGTATAGAGAAGACTGAGTTGTGGGAGCGGTAAACTACTTTTGCGCAGACAGCAGCAACCTTTGAGGGTTCTTTTCTGAATGACCTCATCGTTGTCTAGGATGATACCTTGACAATGATTCTAGGATGGGCTCATCGCAGAAGGCCTGCGGAAAGCCGTCCGACAGAGCCTTGAAATCTCACTTCAGCAATGGCTGCAGAAGCAGCCCGGAAAACCTGCACAGTTTAGCTTGCTCTTTGTCATGCCATGGTTTTGCTCCAATACCTTTCGAAGCCGAAACCTTCATGCCAACAGCTTCATCTGATTTTTTTTGACATATTCTTTTTGAAGCCCGAAGCCGAAACTTGCATGCAAACAGCTTCGTCTGACTTTTTGTCATATTATTTTTGAAGCCCGAGGTTTCATGCCAACAACTTCATCTGACTTTTTGTCGTATTTGTTCCCCGCCCACCGCAACCACCCCTCCCCCGACCCCCCCACCCCCCCGCCCCCGCCAAGCCAAGCCAAAACTAAGTATTGAAATTTTATCCAAGGCCTTCATACGAAAAGCAAGGCCCTCATAGGAAAAGCAAGGCCCTCATAGGAAAAGCAAATCCCTGATAGGAAATGCAAGGCCTTCATAGGAACTGCAAGGCTCTCATAGGAATGATGCTGATGATGTTCATGTTCCCCGCCCACCGCCCTCCCAACCCCCGAACCCCCAACCATTTCCCAAGGCAAGCCACGCCAAGCCAAAAATAAGTACTCAAAATTTATTCCAAGGCCTTCATCGGAAAAGCAAGGCCCTCATGGGAAAAGCAAGGCCTAGATAGGAAATGCAAGGCCTTCACACGAAAAGCCAAAGCCCTCATTGGAAAACCCTCATAAGAACTGCTTCCCCCAAGTTTGCTGCGGAGCCCGCTCCCCCAACTTTGTTTCGGATGTGGCCAAACGCAAATAGTAAATCGCAAGAGAATCATAGCGTCAAATAAGAGATGTACCCCTATTAGTAGTAGTACTAGTAGTAGTAGTAGTAGTAGTAGTAGTAGTAGTAGTAGTAGTAGTAGTAGTAGTAGTAGTAGTAGTAGTAGCAGCAGTAGCAGCAGTAGCAGTAGCAGCAGCAGTAGCTGGACACCCTGTTTTGGCTATGTTCACCATCCTTTGCGTAGTAGATGTAGTAAAAACACCGACGAGATCCCGAATCTACCCAGGACAAAGCGGCCGGGATCTTGGCAGTAGGTCGAGCTGCATTACCTGCGCCGTGGGAGTTTAGGGTTAGGGCTTAAGGTTTAGGGTCGTTAGGTTTCTGGTAAGCATGCTGCATTTTTTTAGGGGTCTTGTGACACTGAATCTTTTTAATCGGGGTTCATTTTGGAGTCCCATGTTTGTTGGAACATTTACACCAATTCGGCGTTAGATTCAAGGTCCTGAATATAGTATAATATAAGGTTTGGGATTATATAGGGTTATTGCTGTCATTTCCAGAACCAGCATCGTGTTTTTAGTGTTCTGCCTTCCTGCTAGGCTCATCGTCCGATTTTTTTTCGCGCGTTTGCCGCACTGGCGTACCCTGTGGGCACTTTTTCGGTTCACGGTTTTAAACAAAGGTTTGATGGCACGATCTGGGCGGTCGAAATTGAGTGGGTGTGATGTTCAGATTTCAGTTTAAGGTTCGTGGATGATTTGGTACTTATTTGAAGTTCGGTTTGCAGGTTTGCTAGTTGTTGACGGCTTGCAGTGTTTCTCTCAATCTCAGCCATGAGCTCGATCCCGGGTCCCATGACCTAAAGCCCACACCCCGGACTGGGTTCTTGTTGCGGAGCCAGTATAAGGGCAGCTCTCGAAACCAGGATCCCTTTTAGGATCCTTTTTTCTAAGGGTGCCGTACTATCTTTGGGGACCTAAACAGGGAGCCTGACTTAGAGAACTACTCAAAAGCTTCCAGAAACATGAATCCATATTTGTTTACTTACTTCATCTTTATTGCTACCGAGGTTCAGCCACTTCACAAGAACCCATCAAATCCCCCATAAAGCTGCAGGGGCAGCAGCCGCACGGTGTCCACCAACGCGGCTGGGGTCCTGGACGTCGGCCAGGGTTTTGGGGCTTGGAGGATCCCTCTTCTAAGGGGGTTGTATGACCTATATAATGTTTATCAGGGTCTCATGAGAGCCAGATAAGGTTCTAGGAGCCCATGTTTTGAGGTTGTTTGTGCCCAGCGACCATGCTGTGATAGGCTTTTGGGATGTGGTATGGCCTAGATAATGTTTATCAGGGTGTATGAGAGTGATAGGGTTTTGGGATGTAGGGCGGCCCAACCCCAAACCCAAAAACCCTGTTAAAACCGGTGCTCAAAATGCAAAAGGAGGTCAACAAAGACCTGGCAGACGACGAAATCATCAGTCGAAGTTGTGCCGCAGTAGGGCTTTGGGTTTAGGGACTAGTCAGGTACATTATTCGCACGATTTTGTAGTTATAAGCCTTCTACACTTATGCTATGAATATACTGTTGAATATGTCCCAGACCCCTTATTGAAGTTTTGAAGGTAAGGCCCCTGTAGTAGACATTAGAGGGCTGGTGAGGAACCTTGGACTTCTGGCAGGTCCGGCCCTAGGTTTTAGCACGTGCAGCTGCTCCAGGGTTTCGCTCCACGGAGGATCATGTAGGGTTCCTTTAAGGGGTCCTTTTACGGATCTATGGGGTTCCTTAAAGGGATCTATAGGGTTTAGGGTTTACTTGGAGGATCATGAAACTTAGTAAGTAGGGTTATAAGTACCTTAAATAGGGGTTTTTATGTAACTATAAATATAATTCCCTTAATTATAACCTTAGTTACCAAGTCCCATGACCCTTTAAGTATTCCCCAGATCATCAACCCTAAACCCTGAACCCCTAAATGCCTAAACACACGCAGATCCCAGATGCAGGGTCATGTTTTGCCAACCCAGCTGCTGCTGACATGTGTCCAGAGCAAGCTCCTGAGTTTTGTGCAGCCTGAGAAGTCCCGAAAACGCGCATGCAGTCCATGTATTTGTGCAGACCGTCCGTGAACTGGTGAGGAGTGCAATGGTGGGTGAGAAGATCTACACGCAGAGCAACAGAACATCCTTCCCCAAGACTGTCCGACTCTGTGCACGCAAATTCCGGAAGCTCCGACCATTTGTTCTTCAAACTGATCTTGGAGCACCTACCACTGGTCTTCATGATCTGGGTTGTTTGCTCCAACCTCAAGGCTGAGGAACCGGCTGCTTCTGTTGATGATATAAACCCTTTGCACTACCTTAAGACCCTGAACTATGGGAATTATGTTATATTCCTTATTATAGGTAATGCAGGATTTTTATCATCAACCGTTCCGACGAGAATGTGGGAACGGCCCGAAAGGAATGGGAAGTCAATGGCGGGCCGAACCCTGAGGGTTCAAACAACCCAAGTACTTGTTGTTAGGATATACACATATATATATATATATATAGAGAGAGAGAGAGAGAGACAGAGAGAGAGAGTATGATCATGTTGTGGCCCTTCGGGGGAGGATTCAATCCCTCGTGTGCAGGTACGTATTCGCGTTCAGGGTTCAGGGTATTGGTCCAATTATCGTTTGAAGATTTCCCGGTTTCGGGGTGAAGATATCTGCCTGTGCAGAAGGACCTCTATACATGCCGTACGTTGGAGTTCATGTTCAGACTATTCACACCTGCCTATGAGCTACACTGTATCCTGAACCATAGGTTTAGGGTTCAGGGAAGGATTGTCTTCTACGGCTCAGAAATGCTTAGTCAGTTCTTCAAGCCGGGGCAAGAAAGGGGGTTGAGGGTTGTTGCTGTGTTTTGGGACCGTTTTGGCACTTTCGGCTGAAACTTTGCCGTGCAGGCTTTGGGTTTGGGAGGTTAGGGGGTTTAGGGGTTTTGGATTTAGGGTTTTGGTTTAGGGTTTAGGGAGTTTGGGAGGTTAGGGTCTTTCGGTTATGGGGTTTGCTCAGGATGCAGGCTTCACCCGAAGACCAAAACCGAAAAGACTAAAATCCCAAGCTTCAGGAACTGAGTCATCATGTTAAGGTTCAGAACAGCCCTATGGTGAACCGCAGAAAGTTGGAACATGGAGTTAGGATGATTAGTGCTGGGATCCCATATACATTTACCTGAAGGGCATGAGGATATTTATGTTCCAACTTTCTGGCTTCTTCTGGTTGGCTCTTAGGACTTTATCTTTTAGGGTTTCTATATGGACAGCACAGCCCTAGGTTGTGACATGGCGCTATCGGATAGTGTTTGGGGTGTAGACAGTCCAGTCTAGGGAGGGCTCTAGCTAGGCCCTAATATCCTTTGTTCCAGATTCAACACCCTACACAGACTCTACGCTGCAAGCCCTGTGAAAGAGTTTCATTAGACTGTCTATAAATCCCCCACCAAAAGGTTCAAGGCTTATTGTGGCTCGACGAAGGTACCCCAGACTATGATACAATAATACATTATGACACATTTTTTGTTTTGGACAGAGCAGATCGTGTCCTTCATCAACAGCACTAAGTCCTGAAAGCCTATAAGGTGGAACGGCTCTAAGGCTCTAAGGCCTAGAGCGTAGGACCCCGGTAGACAATCATGTGCTTCAAAAACCGAACATTACTGTAGAAAGGCTTGAATGGTTAATGGTTTCAATTCCCTTTGGGGCCGCAGGGCCGTATACGATAATCAGTACTGATAAAGAAAGGCTATAAGGGGATGCTATTAGTTCTGATTCCTTCCTACCTTTCCGATAATTAAACCCTTCATCAGATCCTAAAACCCTAGACCCTAAACCTAAACCCCTATACCCTAAACCAACCCTAGATCCTAATCGCTTTCAGCCGAAGTATGATTATTGGGTACTTGGACCCTTGGTTTCAGTCAAAGATGGATCTCCCCTGCAGCCAAGGATCACCGAGCCACCCGCGCAGCCAGCGAGGCCTCCCTGTGTCGGGGACTGCTCGCTTTCGGAAAACAAGGCTTTTCAGGAGGGTTTAGGGGGGGTTTAGGGTTTAGGTTTAGGGTTTAGGGGTTTAGGGTTGAGGGGTTTAGGGTTTAGGTTTAGGGTTTAGGGGTTTAGGGTTGAGGGGTTTAGGGTTTAGGTTTAGGGTTTAGGGGTTTAGGGTTTAAGGGTTTAGGGTTTAGGGTGAATACTCCAGGGAAGCGTCTGCGACAGGAGGGGCGACGGATATACATATATATGTATATATACATATACATATGTATATATACTTGGGCTGAAGTATCTCCCGAACCCACACCCCCAATCCCTCAACTTAATCCCTATATAAACCCTCAAACCTTAACATGATTTAAGTTTCGTGTGCAGGGCTACAGGAGCTTGTGGTTCGTTGCTAAAGGTGCATCTTCTGCCACGCGTCTCCTGCAGGCAGCAGCCAATCACCCTCCACATTTCCTTCACGACGAGTTGGCGGGCATGCAGGCCTGCTCTGATGTTGCACGCCGAACCGCTCACCCCCCAAACCCTGACTTGAACCTTATTATACCATAGGCATGTTATTAATTAATTAAGTAGTAGTATGCATTACTTAGGTTATACAAAGCCTTAGTAGTCAAGATTGTAGGACTTATTCTTCTGCAAATACTGGCCCACAACCTTGTCGTGCGTGATTCGATCTACGTTGGCGCGGCTCAAGCTTAAAGTATGTGACGTCCTCTCTACATCTGGACGCACATGGCGCAACAGATTTTAGCCTCGATGGTGTTTCTGGTGAAGAGCTGTGCCGTGTAGTAGTCAACAACTTGCGCACTTTGTTTTTCGATAGTGATGCTGTTGGAGTTGGGGTAGCTGGACAACGAGGGGAGACGATGACCATGATGGTGGCAAAGATCATGAATGTCACTTTATTTGCACTATGGTTTGCCGGTGATACCTCTGCTGAGAGCCCTTGCCGCGATGATGACTATAATCATCAGACGAGAAGTAATATGGGGGCCTTATTAGTCAGAATAGGGTTTTGTCTGGGACGCTTTGGGTTCGGTGAGGATCAGAGCAAACTCGGCTGGAAGCTCATCGACGCAGCCCTGGAGCGATTCAACAAGGCCGCTTCGACGAGTTTTTGGGGAGGGAATTTAGAGATTTAGCTTTTAGGGTTTAGGTTTTTAGGGGATTTAGGGAATTTAGGGGTTCAGTGTGGTTATTTTTGGGTTTAGGGATTTCGAGTTTAAGGTTTAGGGGTTTGCGTCTGGGATTTCGGACATAGAGTTTAGGAGATGCCGGAGCTTCAGAGGACAGTTTTCTTGGCCGGGGTGGGGGGGGGGCTCAAGGCAGACTGGTTTCAAAGGGGCATTGCTGTACAGTAAACTCCATAAAGTTGGAAACCGGATTAAGGCCAAATAGTGCTGGGATTCCCTACCTATTACTCTTAGGGATTGAGGCTATGGGGTTTCCAACTTTTCGGCTTCTACTGTAAGGGTTTTTGATGGTGCTGCAGTGATTGATGTTAGGCTTTTAGGGCATAGGGCTCTGCAGGTGCTCAATTTGAGGCAAGATTCCCGCAGTCCTGCACCCTAAAGGTCTTAGGTGTAGGATTCGCCTGTAGCCTCAAACCCTGACAACATCGCCGGTGATGTAGAGTTTAGGGTATAGGGTTTAGGACCCCTTTGTGATAGGGTATGGCCTCTCAAAGTAGGAGGGCTGTTGGACCCTCATGCGTGCCGTAGGGAGTCCAGGCTCAGGCGCAGATGCCGGAGAAGCTGTTCCCCTAAGGGTCCATGTGCCCAAATAGTGTATACTCATGCCTTAATGTAGTCCCTACATAACCAGAAGGGTTAGGATTTAGTATTATGACTTAGGGAAGTATCCCCCATAACAGTACATAGGACCCTTTGGGTAACTACTTTAGGGCCTAAGTATATTCTATTTGGGTTCATGGACCTTTAGGGTTTGGCCCTGTCCACATTTTCATCTCCACCCTTGCGAACACTAATCCCGAAAATGCGAAGACATACGGGTAGTCGTCAAAATTAGGGTCCCTTTTTTGGGTCCCTATTATTGTACGGCACCTATTCTTTAGGGTACCCAAAAGGGACCATAGTTTTGACAACTACCCATATAAACCCTGAACGGCCAAGCCAGAGCCAACTTCGTCAGCGACTTCCAGACGCCTCGATGTTACTTAAGGTCTCCCAAAAACCCGCATCTGTCAAGTCAGAGAGGGTCCTAAACCCTAAACCCTAAACCTTAAACCCTAAACCGTGGGGTCCCTTATGTCTACGGACCCCTGTTACACTTCAGTCATAAGGGGGGGCCTTCGAGGGGTAGGGGGAGGGGGTAGGGGGCTTTCATGCCCAAAATCAGGACCTAATGAGGCTCATTTCCGGAAGTCTAGTGCCCTAGCCCCCTCCCGCTTACCCCCGTAAGGGTCCCTATGATTCAGATGAAGTGGTTTGCGGAAATCTGGGGGTTTCTGCATGGGGCATAGGCTGCATTGTCTGGAGTTGAGTGCGGCCTGGCATTTCGGGGTTTAGGCTTCGGGATTAGGGTTTAGTTAGGGTTGGGCGTAGTTTTTATGGGCAAAGGGGTAGCAAGGACAAAGGAGTAATATAGGGGCTTCAACAACTAGCAATGCCATTGTTTGGGGGCTCCTATTGAAAACTGGAGTACTTGGAGGGTCGGGGGACTTAGGAAGTAGGAAACAAGTAGAGTTATAAGTACCCTAAAAGGGATCCTAATTGGGGTTATGGTACTTATAAGTCTCCAAAATAACTAGTTACTAAGTCCCCCGGCCCTCCAAGTATATCATACCTCCAAACCCCATTCTAATTATTAAGGCCCCCCCATATCATTAGCAGCAGGAGCTATAAGGCGAATGTCTCATTGTGTGAATACTTCTTTGCAGCTCATGTCGAGCGCCAAAGAAGGCTTCAGATGACCTAAACCGCAGTCCTTTGTACAGTCAGATGTTAATCCAAACCCCAAACCCCGTAAACCCTAAACCCCAAACCGTAAACCCCAAACCCCCAAAACCCTGAAGCCTAAACCCCCTAAATCCCGCAATCCCTAAGCCCTAACTTAGTAGCTGAGTAGGTCACCGTTAACTTTTTGGGGTTTATAGAAGTGAAGCCTACAATAATTGCAAAGGCTGACCTTTTGGGCTAGGGTGCTCAGCCCCTAAGCTCAAGTAGATGAGTGAAAGGCTACTCCGAGCTGCCTTCCCAGTGCTTTCTGGGCTCCTGCCTCAGACGTTGTCTTTGCTTCGTGGGTCCATTTTGGTTCTACCTGCAATATAGGTTCTATGAGGGTCGTAATTATGAGTGCTTCATATAAGGGTTCTGTAAGGGTTTCATAGTTTGATTAGGGTTCTTAAAGGGTTCTGAGTCTGCAGGGCTTCTGTCAGTAGCCCAGATCAGGTTGTCAAGTTTCGGCCACGGTTGACTACCTTCGAGTCCTGGCATACCTGCACCCTGAATAACCTACCTCTTTATGGACTTCTATCGTGAAATCAAAGCAGGGAACCCTAAACTAAACAGGAGGGGTTGACAGGGTCCAGGTCGACCCTAAACCCAACATGTTCCAAGCCGTGCCTTCCGCATGACGAGCAAAACCCTAAACCCCAACACCTTAAAGCCCCCAACCCTAGACCTACGATTAATGATACAAGCCCTGCATACCAATAACAATAGAATATACCACAGTTCCAAATAGTCTAGGGTCAAAAAGGTACTGCAGGGCTTGTATCATGTACCGTAGGAGCAAAACAGGAGCACCTTGATTTCCAAGGTCATCGGCGCCCCGGGGAGCGGCAAGAACACGCTTATGTGCCGAGTGATTATGGACCTCCTGCTTGGGTCCTTTAGAGTCAAAGGCTTCATGTACCTTAAGGGCTCATTTAAGGGCTCCTTTAAGAATAGCAAAAGGGTTATTATAAGGGCTCCATTGGAGTTCTATAGGGTTTAGGGTTTACGAGACGATGACCAACATAATATATACTCAGGCATTAAAGTACCTAGAAAGGAACCCCTTTGAAGCCTTAAATTTTTATCTATTAGGTTGGTACATTAGGGCATGTTTTGGAGATCTAGAGAACATGATTCAAGGTGCTTTCGTGATTTGAGGGCTTCGGGTTCTCTCAACAGAGGGTGTAGATAGCAGTTTGGGGTATCGGGGTTGTATGGCTTCATGCGTAGAGGTAAATTGGCGTGTTTAGCAGTTCACGGATTCTGGGGTTCGAGTTTGCGTGTGTGAAGTGGAGTTCCTAGTGATCTCCACAACTTTCGAGATTGGTTCTCGGGCGTGCTGAGGAGTCGTACGACTATAGTGTTTGGAGCAATGACTGTGAGCATGAGCCCTTTTATGATGTTCTGGCCGCCAACAAGTCCCAAATGCTGCGTCTTTTGCAGCTGCAGCAGACAGTTGTCCCCGCATAGATATTTTACGGCCAACGCATACGCTACGTGAGCACATGCAGCATTAGGGACCCGTACTACAAGGCCATCGTTGCGGCGTTCATGGGTTGCTCAAACGATGAGGGCTTTCCGAGTTACCCGCGAACGAGAAGAGTTTTGAGGCCTATCACAGATGTAACACTCATCAATAATGCAGACTACGACGTCTAATCACCTCCGTACATGCAGCAGTTTTCACTTGGGTACGAGGCAAGCTCATGTAGTAAAGGAGCCTCAGAGGCAGCAAGTGTGAAGATATGATTGTTTCAGCTCTTGCAATACATTCCTACAGTTATTATGTTTCCTGCGACGCATGGTGTTATAGCAGGTTTTTACTTGGTTGCCTCGTGTCTCTTGCAGCATCCCATGACTAACCAAGAACGGCAACTGCGTTGGACTTGCCGTTGTCAAACTGAGATGGAGGCTGCAGTACTAGAGCTCCTCAGTAGTACCCTTCTGCCCTTTTTATTTTGGGGTCTCCTTATTAAATCAAAAGCAGAATATTAGGAACATGGGACCCTTAATGGGTGAACCTAGAGCAAATTATGGACCTAAACATACATAAACTTCAAACAAGACGTATGGAACAGGACCTCTACGCAACGTAACCCTAATCTGCTTACCCACCCTTGAACGAAACCCTAACCCCTAGCTACTGAACCAAAGCCGGCAAATCTACACCCTAAAGCTTGCTAATGCCCGGCTAAACACGAAACCCTAAACCTTAGACTATCAAGCGAAACAGTAAAGCTACCCTCTGGCAGGACAGCGTCTCCCGCTACGACAACCTGGTGTGACTGCCTCGGCAGTGTCAGGCTTCCGGTCACTCTGCTTGACTCCTCCCAGACTACCTTAAAACGTTTGAAATCAACATATACCGAAACTTAAATCCACTAACCCTGAAAACTTCAAACCCTAAACCCGAAAATCCTGAAGCCTAAACCTCCTACCGTATCTGCTCGGCTCTAAGGGCATCTGCACAAGAGCTGTGCTTGCCAGGAGGAGTAGAGTGTAGAGTTCAGACCTTGCAGAGTGGATTGTGCCGGCAGCTCCGGTTGAAGATATTTTAAAAATAGGTTTAGGGCCTAAGTTCAGGGTTTGGATTTTGAGATTTTACACTGCTTTGCAGAGTTGCGGTCTCTATGTTTTACACGAGGAGACCAACCCCCTTCCGCGCGCCACTTTCTTGCATTACGATCATCAGCCGAAGAGCCTCCAGGTACTCTGCGCCTTTGGCTTTACCGTAATCTGTCAATCGAGTCGTCCAGTCGTAGACCCCCCAACTAGCTTCAAATATACTCTAAATACCCAATACAAAGGACCATATCATAAGAGTGCTGCTAAATGGTGCTTGGAGGGGTTCCATATAGTAGCCTCGCTGAAAAGGAACCCCTGTACTATCCCTTTCTTTAAAATGAATCCTATAATGCCCTCTAAGTAGCCCTTACTTAACGTTCCCCATCATGGACTTAGTACCTCAAAGTATAGAAGCTCATGCATGGCACCCTCAAACAGGGTTCCATTAAGCGATCCTTTAAGGGTTCCTTTAAGGGTTCCATACGATGAGTAGCCTCCCTTAACTGGAACACCTAGACTATCTCTTTCTGAACAAATCCTATAATGTCCCTTTAAGTAGCCCTTAAACGTTCACGTTCCGTATCATAGGCTTTCTACCCTCAAAGTATAGAAGCGCATGGTAACCTTAAACAGGGTTCCATGAAGCGATCCTTTGAGAGTTCCTTTGAGGGTTCCATACAATGTCCCTTAGTTTAAAAGGGACCCCTGTGCTGTCTCTTGTTTACAGGAATCCCAGAATACCCCTTTAAGTTCCTTTAAGGTTCCCCATCATAGACTTACTACCCTCAAAATATAGAAGCCCATGGTACCCTTAAAAAGGGTTCCATCAAGCGATCCTTTAAGGGTTTCTCTAAGGGTTCCATATAATGAGTTGCCTCCCTTAGAAGGGACCCCTATACGATCCATTTTTGAAGGAATCCTATAATGCCCACAAAGTCGGTACTTAGGCCCCAAAGTATCCGGAAAGGGACACCTTGTACCTACTATATGGGTACATGGAGTCTGAGGTTATCAGGTTCCAAAAGCAATGTTTTCGTTGGTTCTATCAAACACCTGACCTGGGCTGCGTATCATATGATCTGGACCGCGTATCATATAACATATACATCCCGACGTATAACGTATAATCCCCGACATATATAACATTTAACAATACCGCCCCGTACGGCCGTACGCGCCCGTATGGTTATATGTGATACGTCGGGGATTATATGTTATACGTCGGGGACCCCCGTGTACGGCCGTACGGCGGCCCCGTACGGCCGTACGGGCCCGTATGGTTATATGTGTTATATGTGATACGTCGGGGATTATATGTTATACGTCGGGGACCCCCGTGTACGGCCGTACGGCGGCCCCGTACGGCCGTACGGGCCCGTATGGTTATACGTTATACGTCGCGAATATATGTTATACGACGGGGACCCCCCTGGGCCATGGGGGTCTGGAAATTTCAAGGACTCGGGGCAGAGGGCATGGCCAGAGACCCCCAGAAAATTTACTATTGGATTCTAAATTTCCTTGTGGGGGTGGATGGGCCATGGTTGTGGCTTGGGCCGGGGACCAGGAGGCTGGTGTGGAAAATTTAGATTTCAATTCTAAATTTCCACAGTTTGGTGGCAAGGGGCTCTGTTTCAGTGGAATACGAGCTCGCTCAGGCATCCCGCAGCGGCATGACACCCCCGGGGATTGAAACAAAGACCTCCCGAAGCAGGGCCTATGCAGAACCACTGCGCTACACGGGGGCTGTGCTAGGATGGTTTTGGTCCCCCTCAACTGGGCGAGGGGTTTTTGTGGTTTGGAGGAAGGCCGGAAATTTACTTTCGGATTCTAAATTTCCTGATACCGTTTGTGTGGGTCGGAGACCACAGGGCCAGGGAGGGGCTGGTGTAGCAAATTTAGATTCCAATTCTGAATTTCCACGTTTGGGTGGCGCTTTGAGTTTAGGCTTTTGGGACTCCCAAACCTTGAACTCTAAATCCAAAACAGAAGCCTGAGCCTTCAAACTCCGATCCTTGAGCCCAAAATGCCATAGCTAGATCAGCCTACCCTCACCTTTTTCCAATAAACCTGGAGGGAGGAGCAGTGTAGTTGTAGTCGTAGCAGTCGTAATAGAAAAAGTAGTAAGTAGCACTACTACCGCTACTATTGCTACTGCGGGGAAGCACAGCGCTCAGGGTTAAAGTGGTTTATAGGAGGTCTCGGAAATTTAGATTTCAATTCTAAATTTTCAGATTCTGGCACCCCTGGGGATTGAAACACGAACATTTGCCTCCAGAACCCATGCACAACCACCGCGCTGTGGCATGATTCCTGTTGCTCATCGATCATACAATCTTCATGTTTGGGCACAAGATTTCTTGATGTGGAAGGTTGGGACATTTTAGTCTTCGATTCTAAATTTCCTTGGTGAGGGAAAGCACCCAAAAAATTAAGAACCTGACCCGAAACAACTAGGGTACCCTAAGGTTCTTAATACTGAGGCAACTTGAATTTGGTGAATTCCGCCTTGGGTAGGGGCTCAGGTTCTTAAACAGTGGGTTCTTATTCAGTATTTTCACTGTAGAACATTGCTCTTAAGCCCTGATAAGTCTGAGGGTTAAGTAGCTTTAAAGGTTCCCCCCTGAAGTGCTGTTAAACGGCGCTTGGTGTGTTCCTGGTAGGGTTCCATATAGTAGCCTCCATCAGAAAGGACCCCTATGCTATCCTATTTTTTAAACAATCCTCTAATGTCCCCTTAAGTAGCCCTTTAGGTTCCCCCCTGAAGTGCTGAGGCCTCTTCGCCTGCCCATCCTCGACTTGGCCAAGCGCAGCACAGATCAGGTTGGGGGGAGCCTCAACCGGGAGACTCGAAGCCCCAAACCTTTAGGGTTTAGGGGTTAGGGGGGTTTAGGGTTTTTTTGGGGTTTAGGGCTTAGGCTTCAGAGTTCAGGGTTTTCAGGAAAGTAGCAATAGTATTAGTTATTAGTGTTAATAGTATTATATTAGGTGATAGAGTGAGCAGCAAGATCATGGAAGGCAGCGTGAAAAGCCTCAAACCAAGAATTGGAAGAGGGTTTACGGTTCTTTTGCCTAGTAGTAGAGTAGGTAACCTTTATCTTTTGTTGGGTAGTATAGTCCCTATACCATCCCTACATACCCAAGAAGCTTAACCTTCAGTTCCCCATGATACCCGACAAGTAGGTTTAACGTGTCCTTTAAGGTTTCTACAAGGGATCTATACGGGTACTATTAAAAGATAGGGGCCTCAATATTTAGAGTAGGGTTCCTTGTAAAGGGCTATAAGGGGTCTATACGGGTACTACAATGCAATAACGGTCTCATTAACTGGAAGAGGGTTTGGGGGTATATTTATATTATACCATAAATGTAATAGGGAAGCCGCAATAGTATCAAGGCCTCTACATTAAGCCCCAGACCCCAAACCCGAGCCTAAACCCCCGAATCCCGATTCCCGGCCCTAAACCCTAAACTCGAGTGATTACTAATCCAATTTTTCAGTGTTTTAGAGGCCTTCTGCGTTTTTTGGAGGTTGCAGGAAAGCAACGATGTAGCAACTCCCTAGTTCAGCTCCAACGACCCCTCCTCTGAAAGATGCCGGGCACAAGCACTGAGAGGATCTAGGGTTAATGCAGGGCCTATGTGATTCCGTTCATCGGGTCGGTGTAGGCCTTGTTTTTTTGTGTCATGTTTTGGTAGGAGGTGAGGCTTTGGAGGTTTTTGTAGGGTTTTCCAGGGTGGCTGCAGGGTATACAGGCCAGCCCCTAAACCCTAAAGCCCAACCTCAAAGTTCAACAGGCGCCAGAGCCCAAATGTCCCGATGCACCAAAGAAATCGACCTCGGCATGCTCAGATGCCGGAATTGGCTTTACCCTCTGTGCAGCTCTCAGCATTCTTTCCTTGGTTCGAACATGGGGGGGCTCCACGTACCTGCATTGCGTAGACTTAGGCCGTAAGGTGAGTCTACAGGAACCCCTGTCAAGCCTAAACATACTATATGGGCACATGGAGCCTTGGGGTTTGGTTTACCTTGGCCCCCCCAGCTACCCTCTAGTATACCCCATAAATACCCACTATTCAGCACCCTAAGGGCACCATTGAAGGGCACTTGGGGGATCCTGGTAGGGCTTGGGGTTGAGATTTGTGTTTCCGAGGGGACGAAGGGTTGGGACCCGCAAGCATTTGGTGGAGGGTCCCAGCCAGAGTTTTGCTGCGTACTTTGCAACAGAGGTCGCTGTGAGGTAGGATGGGTGTTAAACAAAGCAGTTAGGATGCAGATTTTGCTTCATCAAAACTTTACAGCTCCTGGGTGTGCTTTGTTTTTTGGTTTGGGTGATGGCTCGCTTTCACAGGGTTCTCCATGAAAGCACTTGTTCTTGCACCATGGCGGGGGCCCGAGATTACGCATTACAGTCAAAGGCATACATTGTCCATTCCTGACGAAAAGGGCATTGGCCTCTCTGGGGACCCTAAACCCTAAACCCAGAAAAAGAGAACTCGACCCTAAACCCTAAACCCCGAAAAAGAGAACTCGACTCAGTGGCTGTGCAGTTTGGGATTTCGGGGTTTCGGTCCTAAGGGGTATAGAACCTTCGAGCCGATATTTCCGAAATTAGGGGTACCACATTTGGGGGTCCTTTAAAGGTTCCTTAAAGGGATTTATAAGGGTTCTATAAGGGGTTTAGGGTTTAGAGTTTCCGAAAATTAGGGGTACCTTACTTTGGGGTCCTTATAATAAGGATCCTAGTATTTGGGGCACTATATTAAGTTCCCCTATCTTCGAAAACTCCCATATGATGTTCTTGTCTGACTAGAAAAGATAGTTCAAAGGGGAAAAGGAGGGACCCTTAGTGGGGACCCCTACCCTGTAATGGGCTTTATAGTGGGTATATAATAGCTGTATGAAGGGTGTATACATAGGGGTCCTTATTAAGGGTCCCTCCTTTTACGCCTGGATAGCAAAGATAATACGCACCAGCTCATGATGACAGTATTGACAACGACGAACCTACATGTAAGCCCTTAGTCCTAAACCTATACTCCGCACAAGTCAAGTGACGACGCTGAGGTACAAGCTTGGTTCGACAAGTATCTGCGCATCCTGTTCGGCGAGGACCGCCTTGGATTCACGAGTATTGAGTATCGGTATTCTTGTTCTGCGTTAAAAATTTTTGGCGGGAAGGGAGTTGGTGGCGTGGGGTTGAGGGTTGGGTGTGGTTCGGGGCGTTAGCTGTATATCTTCTTTATGGGATTTGGGATAAGTTTTTGCGGGTTTCATAAAGGGCTTGGAGTATGCAGAATTTCGTACAAGCTCTGCTTGGTTGCATGTGGGCTTTAGAAGATTCTGTTATAAGCACAGCCCTATCTTAGAAGCCTGCTCACGAAGTCCCAAACCCTAAGAGTCCATGTGCCCAAGTAGTATATACTTTGGCCCAATGTACCCATATAGGGAGTACTTTAAGGCCAATGTATATACCATTTAGGTACATGGGTGGTTGTCAAAATTATGGCCCCTTTTTGATCCCTAATACAATACGGCACCTACTATTTAAGGTACCCAATAAGGGACCCGAGTCTTGACAACTACCCACATGGACCCTTAGGGGAAATCCTTTGGCCCTGAACCCTGAAGCCCCAGCCGTTGCGAGGGTCAGCGTAGGTGATGGGTGGTTTACCTATAGTCTCCATTGTAGTTCCTTTTGTTAAAATCTTTATTATAGGACCCTAATCCTGAAACTTGTTAACAAAAAGAAAGAACTGCAATGGAGGCTCTGGGTAGGGTCGCCAGTCGGTCTAGACGCATCCTAACACCATGAAAGTGTGAGCTTATAGTTCATCATGCTAAGCCCCAAGGGTCCAATAATCATATATTAGGGTTTAGGGTTTAGGGTTCAGGGTTTAGGGTCTGAAATTCAAGCAGAGGTCTGGTTGTCGGCTGCTTCGATGTGCAGAACCCCAAACGGCATGGCTATTCCGGCTGTATACCTGCATAGAAAAGCCCATAGCTTGCCCCAAACTCAGAACCCTTGAGTGCAACATGCTACTCGAAATCATCAACCATGACCTGCGCCCTGAATCTGAGCATTGAGCTAAACCATTGTAGCACTACGGTTGATGATATAAATCCTGCATTTCCTTAAGGACCCTAAACTATGGGAATTATAGTAGATTCCTTATTATGGGTCATGCAGGATTTATATCAGCAACAGTATTAAACCATAAATCCTAAACTCCAAACCCCAAATCCTAAACTCTAAACCCTGAATCCTGAACCCTAAATCCTGAACTAGACCCTACAGCCGCAGGACACTCCTAGATACAAGATGATGAAGATGGCGATTTCTATGCGACGCAGGGGGCCCAGTGAGCCTCAGCCTCCTACTTGGAGCGTCGGGGGAGCTAGAAAGTAGTCATTCTATTGGGTTCCATAAGGGCTTGAAGGCTTGGGTTTTAAGGATTTAAGGTCTAGGCCAAGGGTTCATGTACCCCAAAGTCGTCCCTAGAGGTGGTTTAGGGCCAAGCATATACTAATTCTCTACTTTTTGAGAGGTCCTGAACCTCTAACGAGGCAAGTGTATATCCGAAACTATAAACCGAACCACGCTACGATCCCAAAGGGTCCAAGTGCTTAAAGACCAGGGCTTTCGGCACTAAGAACCATTGAGAGTCTCGTCCGTAAGACCTAAAAGCCATTTGTTTGAGTACTTAGACCCTAAGAGTATGAGGCGATGGGAACTTTAGGGTACCCTCAAACCCATGCCCAAAACCCTACACCCTAAACCGTGGGTTTGTGTTTTCGGTTTTCGGGACCTGCCGCCTAAAGCTCCAAGCTCTGTCGCGCTTGGTTCCGAGACCTTCCACTAGCCCCTTTTTAAAGAATATTCCTGAACTTTTAAGTAGGAATATGATTTGAGGTATATTTATCGCTTAGTTATGGGATATTGTAAAGTCCGGGTTCCATGGGAGTGTTTGTTCCAGGTCAGTCAGCTACAGCCGTGTAGTTGCGTGTCTTTACCGGGGATCGTAAGTGGATCTTGGCCTACGTACCCAACAAACCCCTAAACCCTAAATCCTGATTAACCTTATTCAAAAGGAACCTGATTAAGAAACCTTGGGACGTCAGTAGGGCTCTACATATGAATCCTGCTTTTGTCGTGTTATAGGTCCGGGGTTTCTGAATCAGGTTCCTACACTACCCAAATTCTTAAGCCGCACACTCATAGCCCTTAACCGCATCCCCTAAGGGTCCATGTGCCCATATAGTACATACTGTTGCCGCAAAGTAAATCTATAGGGAATACTTTAAGGCCAAAGCATATACCCTAAACCCCAAACCTTACTTGGAGGGTCGGGGGACTTCGTAACTAGTAAATTTTAGAGACTTATAGGTACCGTAACCTCAATGAGAATCTCGTTTAGGGCTCCTATAACTCTACTTACGGTTGATGATATAAATCCTGCATTACCTTAAGGACCCTAAACTATGGGAATTATGGTATATTCCTTATTATGGGTAATGCAGGATTTATATCATCAACAGTATCACCCTTACTAAGTGCCTCGACCCTCCACGTACACCCAAAACCCTATAAACTGGAATCAGGAGCCCTATTCCTGTTCGAGGGCCTCGATGCAGCTGGTCAGCTGCGAGAGGCCCTTACTGACATCCTGGTTCTTGATCGCCGAGTTCGATGGGGGGCCTAAATAATTAGCTATACTATTTTGCGGGGTTCTTTCTTACTAAAGTTACAGTACATATAATATACCCCAAAACCCTATTCTGATTATTAAGGCCCTTATAATACTGACGTCAGGGTTCTTGCTTTGCCTCCTGCATCCCAGCAGAGTCCAAGTTTGACTGGTTTGTGGCCGGGGATTTCCACTAAAACCCTACCCAGAGGGTCATACCCTACCCCTTTTTGGTGGTACCTAGTTTTATGGTTAGGATCCCCTGTAAACAACAGTAGGTACCCGAAAAAAGGGGTAGGGTATGGGCCTATAGGTACAATAGGGGCCTCCATACTTACCAATAGTATATATATATATATATAATATATATATTTTTTGCGGGTCCGTTTTAAAATTATAGTATAATGGGCCCCCCAAAATCCCTGTTCTAGTTATTAAGGCCCCTTTTTTAAACTTCCAAACCCTAAATCTTGAATTCTGACTCGTGTGTTTTGGTCGCAACCCTGCTCACACGTTAATGTTGCCATTGTTCAACAAGTTGGTGGTATGAGTGCTGTGTCCAGCTTCTGTTCTTAGTGCCACTCATGACTGCTAGCGTGTTGTATGTAAGGCTGTGGCATGCTCACATCGGTGGCGATGGGAAAGCGCCGTGATTTGTTCGGATATTGTGTTTACTTCAGAAGCAAAATAGACACGACAGGCCTCTTGGCACCACCTAGAGCATGTACCATGAGCTTGGATGGCCCGTGTGTGGTTACACCTGAGGCGCCATCAAAGACCCGCTGCTAGACTCCAATGCCCAAGCCATGAATCCACAACTCTTCCTCTAAGCCCTATAGCCTGTAAACCCTCAACCTCAATTGCAAACCCTTTAAACTTACTATAAACCCTACACCAGCCACTCTAATTTTAAGCCCTGAACCTTATAAAGCCTTAACTCGTAGACCCTCTAGTATGGCCTCATGAACTTCCCACAAGCCCTACACCGGCAGCTCTAACCCACACCCGGCGAGCCGCAGCAGAGAGAGTCTGAGAGAGCCAGGCCGTGGAGATTCTCATTCAAGGCTTCGTCAAGGCTGCGGACCCAGACCTTCCAAAATCCTTTAATTAAGGAATGCACCTTAAATTTCAATAGGATCCATAGTATAATTTAAGGTATATTCCTTAATTAAGGGATTTTGGAAGGCTGCGGATCCCCAATCAGAGCATTTGGGTAGCGCTGAGCGATTAAAGCTAGGAGTTCAGGGTTCGGGAATGCCAGGGCTTCCGTAAATTCCAAATTCTAAACCCTAAACCCTGGGGTTGAGGAAGAGTAGGATGTAGGGCTGCGGAGAAGGGCACGGAGTGGAGACATGAAGACCCGCAAGACCAAGCACTCTAAATCTGTTTCGTACACCCAGACGAGTTTTTGTATGAACCTACAGGGCTCGTCGGGTTGAGGGGTTTGGTGTTTCCGATAACTAGGACCCACTGAGCAGAACGAATGAGCAGCATAAGTCCGAAGGAGGCAAGCAACAATGTTCAATGAAAGTCCAGAAACAATCGAATCTTGACCGTAAGGGCACGCCGCCCTTTTGCCAACTCTCCAACGCTAAGCACCAGTGTCGATGAGTTCTTCATATCACAAGATAGGTGCATCACATATTACAGGGCAGTCTTGACACTAGAATGCCTTCTAACCGGGGATCCACAAAGCGAAGGAAACAACAATGAGCTATACAAGCCAGAACAGTTGACAATGATATTCCTCCGGAATCGTTATTGTTCTTGCACTCCAAACGGTATAGTCTAGTCTTTACGGCCGCTGTATAGAGGTTTAGAAACGGCTTTGCTGCTAATGTCTGAAGCAGGTAATGGAACCCGTACTGCTGGACGACCCCCCACTAGTTAGTGAAGCTCAGACTCGAGAACCCCAATCATCATTCCTATAACTTCTAGGATGCCCAGTAGTACCCTTATTTCCTTTTTCTAGTCCTAGGTTCCTTATAAAGTTACCCAATACCAAAAAGAGAGGCCTTTTTATTCTTAGGTTACTGGGTATCCTAGACTTGAACCCTAAACTCTAGACTAGACCCCAGCCCTAAACCCTAAACTCCAGGGGAGGTCTGGGTCTAACATGTGTGAAAATACCCAGGGGTTATGCTTTCGCCAGCACGCAGGAGGGTCACTTCCTGCTGATGACATCCAGGCCATGGATGCATCTGCTTGTAAGCTGCTGATTTGTTTCTGTCGAAACAATGTGAGGAGCAATGAAACGGGTTTGCTAGTCGAGAAAATATGGCGGGCGTGCTTGAGTTAAGTCGTATTGCTACTGGGACCCGAGGGACTACAGAATCCGTGTGAGGCTCAAGATGTTAACCTTTGCAGCGAGGGCTTTCTACGAGGGCTATTCATCCGTTTGCGCTGAGAGTTTGGTTTAGGCTTTCTGTGATTAGGGTGCAGGTGCGGGTTTCCGACTTCGGGTCGCTTTGGGTCTATGTAGCAGTGCGGGCCTATGTTGATCGTCATCATCATCTAAGGAATACCTCGCAGCAGCAGTGCTGGGAAGTCCGCTTCGACCTAATTACGGCTTCGGGTTGAGGATTTTCGAGAGCAGCAGGCCCATTTGCCCTAAACCCTAAACCCCTAACCTTAAACCTTTAAGAAGAACCAGGCTCTGAGTCCCTAAGGCCGCAAGACCCACTCACCATCTTCAACGAATCCGATCCACTATGATGTCGGATCTTGTTCTCACTCGGGACCCAAAAAACCAGACAAACATGAGCTATTGGAGTGAATCTCTTTTCGGGACGTTACCTTGCGATAGACACGTGTTTCACTGGGTAGTGGAGAAGCAATACTGTAGCTAGGCTGCCCAGTAGTACCCTTATTCCCTTTTTGTAGTCCTAGGTTCCTTATAAAGTTACCCTATACCAAAAAGAGAGGCCTTATTATTCTTAGGTTACTGGGTATCCTAGGTAGTGATGCTGGACAATCCTGCAGTACCCAAAGTATCTACCGTGATTGCCCTAAACTCTAAAGGCCCTTAACCCGAAGTCTTCAAACAAACCCTAAACTTACCCTAAACCCTACTTACCCTAAGGCCCTAAAGTAGTTCCTTTTTGGGGTTCATATTTAGAATCCTATTAGGAAATCCCAAAAAGGAACTAGTTTGGGGCCTATGGGTAAAGTCCTAAAGCCTGAAACCTTAAATCCTACACGCTGAAACCCTGAACCCTCCCCTGAGCTGTCGGCTCTTGGTCCTTAGTGTGGAAACCCAGAGACTCGGGTTTAGGGTTTAGGGTTTAGGGCAAAACCCCTTAATTAAGGAATATACCTTAAACTATAATAGTAGGGATCCTAATATGATTTAAGGTATATTCCTTAATTAAGGGGTTTTGGAGTCTCTGGAAAATATATAAGGCTCAGAAGCATTTGGGTGTTAAGACTATGGCGCGTACCAAGACCGCCCAAGGGCCCTTTAATAGAGCCCTTATGGCCCTGAATAGTGGGTATTTGGGGTCTACTAGAAAGTAGTTGGGGGGTCTAGGTAGGGTGTAGGCCTTAGGGGTTAGGATTAGGGGATATTCGGGGTGTTCAGGGCAGTAGGATTCGAGAGTGTGGTGTCTAAGATCTAGGGTCGCGGGTTTAGGGCAGTAGGGTTTAAGATTATGGAGTCATTGCAGGGTTGGTTTGCAGTCTCGGGTTGCGCTTTGGTTCGATTTCAGGTTCAGGGGGCGAGTTAAGTTAAGTGCCTCGGGTAAGAATTTGAGGTGGCGTCGGCAGCCCCTGTAGAACTACCCCTGGATTATCAAACCATCCTACATCCAAGTAGCTGCAGCAGTCCTTCGGGATGTGGGCCCCTGGAGGATCCCTTAATCCCTAAACCCTAAACCCTTAACCCCTAAACCCTAAACCCTTAATCCCTAGACCCTAAACCGAGCCCTGCACCTAAACCCTCTCCACAACCCTAAACACTACAGAACTCTGAAAGCATCCCTGAAGTGTTAGTAGCTTACCCAGAGGGTCCATAGACATTGCAATTACGGATGGTCTTTGGGACCTAATTCCATACTAGTAGTACGCGCGTAGTGCATATTTGACGCTGCGTTTTCGTGCACTTGGCAGACAGAAAGCACTGTAATTTGAGATGTATGCAGGACAGGGGGGGTCCTTGTCAGGGGAGCGGGGAAATTTGGATTATGTTGGTTGTCAGCAAGCGAATCAGCTCGGATCTAATTATATGAATTGTGCAAGAACAACAGGAAGTTTTTAACGGGGAGCCCGCACAAGGAGCGCAGTTCTGAGCCATGGCTCGCAAACTCGTCCGTGGGCGCAACAAGGGCAAGCAGCGTCTTCACCTGTGTGTTGCTTGTGGCAACACGGGGCACCGCGTGGAGACGTGTGGCACAGCGGCAGCTCAGTTGATCCGGCAGTTGCGAAGCGAGCTGGCGGATGCACTGCAGACAAAGGTTAAAGGTTTAGGTAAACGTTTAGGGTGAAAGGTTTAGGGTTAAAGGTTGAGCATAAACCCCGAAACTCCCCCCCCCCCCCAACCCACCAGCCCCAAGCCCCCCAAGCCAAGCCAAAGCCAAGCCAAAAATAAGTACTGAATACATATTCCAAGGCCCTCATGGAAGCGCACGGCTCTCATAGGAAATCCAAGGCCCTCATACGAATGCCAAGGCCCTCATACGAAATCCAAGGCCTCATCAGCTTGAACCTTCGATACCAGACACACCCACCGTCAACCTTGAAGCCCACAAAACCCAAAGACATCCTCGCTCTGAGCCTGAAGCCCAAATCCGACAGATAGAATTCTCTCAATTGAAGCTTTCCAGAATTCCCCGCTCCCCAGAGAATTAGTGAAATTAGCTTAGAACTCGAGTTTTGGGCATGTGAAGTGAGGAAAAGCATAGCGTCAATTACGCACTACGTTCTTAGTAGTAGTAGTAGTAGTAGTAGTAGTAGTAGTAGTAGTAGTAGTAGTAGTAGTAGTAGTAGTAGTAGTAGTAGTAGTAGTAGTAGTAGTAGTAGTATATATATATATATATGTATATGTATGTGTATATATATATATATATATGTATCGATGTGGGTCAATAGCTTCTGTGACGCCGCAACTACCCTCTAATGTATGCCGAAAAACCCGCTATTCACCACCACTAAGAACCAACCAGCAAAGGACAATAAGGGCTCTGTTAAAGGGCCACGTGGGAGAGCTCAAACCTAGTGATTCTACTAACGCCAGATACCCACCATTCAGGATTATAAGGGCTCTATTAAGGGGCCATTGGGGCCGCGATGTCCTGCCTTGAGGCGTCTCCCGCAGGGCTCTTCCCTGGAGGCAGCAACCCCAACGACGCAATGTAAAGGGGCCTTCACAATTAGGGTTTTGGGGGGGTCCTTATTATAGTGATCGTATAATATACCCCAAACCTATATAACATACCCCCAAACCTATTCTGATTATTCAGGTCCCCCTGGTATGTAAAGAGTTCTAAGGCTTGGGATCAGTGGCGTTTCCTTTCGAAGCTCGAAGAGTTCTTGGAATTTGAGGTTCGGGATCAGGGGGCTTTAGGTGCCAGGATTGCGGATAAGGGTTTGGTTTAGGGTTCAAAGGAATAAGGCTGAAGCCTTGACCCCCCAACTCCCTTAAATTATACCCCCACAATACCCACTATTAGGGGCCACAAGGCCTCTAGACAAATACCTCCCAAATACCCACTATTAAGGACCAGAAGGCCTCTATAGAAAGGGCCCTTGGGAATATGGACCCTCAGACCCTTTTTGAGGGAGTTCTAGGGACCCTTAAGAGTCTATGTAGGGTATTTCGTAGGTATATAAGGATCCCAGGGCTAAGGGCCCATACTAGGGGCCAAACCCTAAACCCTAAACCCTAAACCCTAACCCCTAAACCCCTAAACCCTAAAACCCTAAACCCTAAACCCCTAAACCCTAAACCCCTAAACCCTAAACCCCTAAAACCCTAAATCCTAAACCCCTAAACCATGGTTTCAACCGTTCTGGGGAAGCCTTGGCCCCAAACTAAAAAGGCCCAGAAGCCTCGACACTGGAAAAAGCGAGCCCAAGTAGCTCCTGGACCCCCAAAGTATGTAGAAGAATAGTTTTTTTTTTTAGGTTTTGGCCCCAAAGTAGATCGAATAATAGCGTTGTTTTATAGGTTTTGGGCCATTATTTTGCATACTTTTGGGGGTCTAGGCTGGCGGTGTTTCATCACCGGGTCTTGTTTGCAGAGGATTTGATTGCGCGCCTCGTCTATGAAATGGTTTTTCTTGACATGATGTTTCTGGCAAACTTCGGCTTTTGCATGAACACTTCAGTCAACCTCCAATAGTTACATTGACACATGTTTCATGCTTGTTGAGGTACTGTAGGATATCTCCCATAAGAGGGCATTATGGAAGATACCTCTGCAGTTTGGGCACTGCGGGCGAGAGTGCTCGGTATATGTACCCTCGCCCTTCCTCTACCCTAAACCCTACTTGGAGGGTCGGGGGGCCTTAGTAGTAGGTAATAAGTAGACTTGTAAGCACCCCCAGAAGGATTTATGACACTTATAAGTCTGTATCGCAACTAATTGCTAAGTCTCCCGACCCTCCAAGTAAACCCTAGACCCCTAAACCCGTTTCGATTCCTGGAGCCCTGCTAGACCGGCATGGCTGAAAGGACCAAACAATTACCTGGGTGATAGTGTAGTCCGCAGTGAAGGTGAGCAGTTGATGTCAGCAGTCATCCATAGTGAGGGTTAGTAGTGGGCGTGTATCTGACTATCGGGTACCGGGGACCCTTGTGGCAGGTACTTGCAGCACACCCCAGACCGTGACTTTACCCAAGCAACAACCAACGTGCCAGAATGATAACTACCGAGTACTGCCAAACTCGAAGTCTCAATGCCATCAAGCCCTTTGCTGCCGCCCTCCCTTCTCGCAGAGCCTGCCGGAGCACATCGTGGCAATGGAGATGCAGGTAGAATCGCGAGATTTCACAATCGGTCTCATGGAAGTTCAGTCTGGTAGGTTTTAGGGTGAAGGTATTACAGGGGTTCGTGGCCTTGCAAGCTCTACATCAGCAGCGATTCAGCTTTGTTAATTTGGTGTGTGTGTGTGTGTGTGTGCTGTTTTCTGCTACAGTTGTGGTCTTCAGCAGAAGTCCTTATCACTAGAATAGAGGTTCTGCTACTATACATTGCGTAGATTCAACTTGTATCGCAGCCTCGGTATGACCCTGCTTTCGCGTAATCTAGAAGCCTGAATATAGTTCCATTTGTAAAGATTGCTCCTTGAGGTTCTGTTCAGCATCTTAGTAGCTGAGTGAGTGGATACACTTTACACTTCTTTCTGTGAGAATATTACCCGCTATAAAGCTGAAGGTGTACACTTTTGGGGGGCTTATGAACTCAGCAACTAAGAAATACCTGACAAACTCCGAACCCCGAGCATATCAGTAGTTTCTAGTATAGAAACCCTACATTCTACTATATAGCTACTTTGGACCCTTTGGGATGTTGAACCCACGAAGTAAACCCTCGTAAATCCCCGTAAACCCCTAGAAGACCGGAACGACATCCTTAGGCCCACGATTTATCCAAAGTGTCCAGGTACCATTGTAGTAGGTACTTAGTAGGTATTTGGGCCCACCCAAAATATATACTATACTATTACTAGGACCCTTTGGCTTCATCCTTTCTGCTCCGACCGCAGGAACACCCAGCCCCCGAAGGCTCTATGCGTTAGCTTGGGACCTTGCTGAACCGAAAACGCTGCCTAAGGGTCCATGTGTGCATATAGCATATATGGGTGGTTGTCAAAATTAGGGTCCCTTTTTGGGTCCTTAATATAATACGGCACCTGTTATTTAGGGTACCCAAAAAGGGGCCACAATTTTGACAACCACCCATATACTTTGGGCCCAATGTACCTATATAAGGAGTACTTTAAGGCCAATGTAGATACTAATTATATGACTACATGAACCCTTAGGGCCTAAAGCCATCAATCCAACCCCCAATTACCATTTAGTTGAACCTGCTTGTACCCACTATGGAGGACGGTAAGGCCTCTATTATAGGGTACCTCGCGGATGCTGGACCACCCTGAAACCTAAACCATAAACCCAAGGGAGGAGGTTGTTGTCGGATCATACCTATGGTTACCGTTTAGATCAAAGGGGTCATGACCTGCTGTGTTGTCCGGTTTGGGGTTCGGATGATCACCTCCTACGCATCCAATTGCCCGGTACACAGGTGCTTGGGTTCAGGACCATAGAATTTTGGATTTATGGGATCGTGACTAGTTTTGGGGGTGGTGTATCTGGTGCCTTTTGCGCTACGCCCTCATCAGTCATCCCCATATCGGTGTTGCTAAAGTCGCACGTGCCGCCTCGCCCGCGCCAGCCCCTGTCGGATGAGCAAAAGAGGGCCATCGCGTGGGGAGCCCGGTGGCAGTACACCCTTTGACAAAACTCATGGAGGTTGTTGTAAACTCTGAGGGTCATGTACCTATTAATAACAATACTCCGCCAAATGCTAGCCTCCATGAAGCATTACCGCCCTAGATGTAAACCCGAGTATATTGTTGTTGGTTGCCTTGGTCCCCCAAAGAAAGTTCTTTGTTAGGAGGAACAATTTGGAATAAGCAGGTCCTATGCAAAACAGGTACAGACACTTTCCAAATCCAGGAGTGCTGCTGCTGCGCCTACTACTACTACTACCACTACTACCACTACTACTACTACTACTACTACTACTACTACTACTACTACTACTACTACTACTACTACTACGACTACGACTACGACTACGACTACTACTGCTACTACTACGACTACTACTACTACTACTACTACTACTACTACTCCTGCTACTACTACTGCTACTACTACTGCTACTACTGCTGCTGCTACTACTACTACTACTTCTGCTACAATTTCTACTTCTACTTCCGCTACTACTACGTATACGACTACTACTACTGCTGCTTGTACTGCTGCACTTGTTTGAGGGGAGGACATTCGGGCCTTGTGAAAACTTGAATCAGGCCCAGTCGGTTACCATTACTTGGAGGATCATGGGACTTAGTAAGTAGTGTTATGAGAGCCCTAATTGGGGTTACAAGTAGATATAAGTATAGTTACCCTAATTATAACCCCAGTTACTAAGTCCCATGACCCTTTAAGTAGGGTCCATGTGCCCATTCCCTTACTCAGCAGGATTACTCTAGAGGTTCCTTATAAGGGCTTCAGGGTTTAGGGTTTAAGGTCCCATGTAAGAACGTCTCTGCAGTCGAGAGAGCCTCCCGGTAGCTGCAGGAAGCTGGATTCGGCTTTGTACTGCTCTACCGTCGATGCAAGATGTTCGATAGTGGTTGCCTATAGTCTCCATCGCAGTTCCTGTTTTTGGTTTTCCGAAATCTATATCATTCTAGGGGGCTGCGCCGACGGGCGGGCAGCGCAGGCACAAGCCTGGAGCAAGGCCGCGCAGCTGTGGGTCAAAGGTATATAATTCCGGGGCGCAAGGGCCCTTAGGGAAGTGAAGCCAAAACCCTAAACCCCTAAACCCTAACCCCTAAACCCTAAACCCTAAACCCCTAAACCCTAAACCCCTTAACCCCTAACCCCTAAACCCTAAACCCCTAAACCCTAAACCCCTAAACCCCCAAACCCTAACCCCTAAACCCTAAACCCTAAACCCCTAAACCCTAACCCCTAACCCCTAAACCCTAAACCCCTAAACCCTAAACCCTAAACCCTAACCCCTAAACCCTAAACCCCTAAACCCTAAACCCTAAACCCCTGTGCTGAGGCATTCTCGGCTCGGCTTGCAGGGCTTGCAATCCTTCAACACGTTCCTCACAAAGATCCGCAGAGGCGATGGCTTCGCAGGGCAAACAGGGCTTTGGTACTAGGATTTAGGGTTTAGGGTTTAAAGCTTCTCCAGGACTGCCCAAAGGCCCTTTCATAAAGTCCTTATGGCCCTGAATAGTGGGTATTTGGGGTAATTTAGAGGTTAGGGCTGATTCTTGGATTCCGGTTTATACAGATATTGTAGGGTATTTATATAGGGCTGCTGTGGTCGAGGATTTTGATCTTTGTGACTTGGTGGGCTGCAGATACTTGAAGGTTTAGGTTCAGGCTGTCAAGGGTCATCATCAGGGAGTACAGTGCTTGTAGTTTTCATACAGGGGCTCGTCCAGCTCGTCGTAAGCCTTGACAACATGTGAACTGAGAATCGGCAAATACGAACAGGCCGAACACTCCCGAATCCAAAATGCAAGTCCTTAAACCCCAAAAGCTTGCGCCTGAAACCTTAAACTGTGTGCCCCAAACTCCAAGCCTGAAAGCCTACGGTCACGCACAATGAGCCCACTCCATTCAGCTTGTGGCTTGTCAGAATGATCCATAGCAGGCTGTTCAAGCTGTTTGCTGAGGTTTAGCGGGTTAAAGGGGTTCGTACACTTGAGCATACGGCAAGGTTTCCGGTTAAAAGGTTCAAGCTTTGAGGGGCTTCGGGTTTACCTGAACCCACGAAACCCTGCTTTTTTGTAAGGTCCTTATAAATTCCATATTCGGGTTTAGAATCAGAGCCTGCAGAAGAGGAGGCTATGGTACTTTAAGGTAGGGCTTGGGGTTTAGAGGTTCGGAGATCGGTTTCACGTGAGCCTTGCGATTCGTCCCGGAGTCAATCCTCTTACTGTTCTCGCAACGTACAGTATGCCGAGGTACGTCAACAGGCTTCCCAACGCTCAACATGTCAGAGTTGACAACGAAGACCAGCTGCCATACGCTGTCTGTCGTGATTCGCTACTGGTAGATGCTGGGCTGATTACAAAAGTTGAGAAGAGTATGGTTTCAGAGCCAGCTGAGTTCGTCGGGTTCTTTGAACCCTCACTGGGCAAGGATGCCCGAATGGGGCGCCATGCGTTCGGAGCCGTCGCTAAGGGTCCATGTACTCATATAGATGTCAGGCCGTGAGCTACCTGAACTACTACGAGTCGGTTGAGTGTGTTAACAAGGAACCCCCCAAAATGATATTGAATTTAGGCCCCTATGATAGGTTTTTGGGTTTAGGTTTCGGTTAACCCCTAGACCCTAAACCCTCGACCCTAAACACCCTAGACCCCTAAACCCTAAAGCTTAGACCCCAAACCCTAGACTCTAAACCCGAAACACTAAACCCTAAACTCTAACCCTAAATGCCCTGTCCGGCCTCGCTGTGGGAAGGCCAAAGAGGCAGCGATGGCGGCGAGACGCAGGCCTCCGGGGTCTTCAAAACTAGGATGCCCAGTAGTACCCTTATTCCCTCTTTCTAGTCCTGGGTTCCTTATAAAGTTACCCAATACCAAAAAGAGAGGCCTTTTTATTCTTAGGTTACTGGGTATCCTAGAAAACGACTAGTACCCTTTTCCCCTCTAAGGGGCCTTTTCGGGCTCAAGGAATATACCCTTAAATTATAGTAGGATCCCTAATGCGATTTAGGATATGGTCCTGAATTCAGGGATATTGGTAGAAGGGAACTATCAGGGATCTGTAGGTGTTCTAGAAGGGAGCTGTAGGTGTTCTATAAGGGCACTGTAAGTGTTCTAGAAGGGAAGTAGAATAAGGGTTCCTGAGTAGTACCCTTTTGCCCTTCTTATTTGGGGGTTTCCCTAACAGCAGAAGCAGAATATTAGGACAAGGGTACCCTTTTCAGAGGGTACTCGGGCACCAGACCAGAGCACTTCGACAACAGACGCTACCGAGTAGGATTCTGTTATCCCTTAGAGCTCTGAGGCAAACAGCCGGAGGATCCTTCGTACAAGATTCGGGTTAAAAGGTACCCACGGTCCAGGATTTAGGGTTTAGGTTTAGGGTACGGTACCCAAATATTGAAGAAACAGAACATGTTTTTGTATAAATTACTCTATCAAATGTGAGTCGTCGCATAGGGTCCTCTGCCGTTTCGCTTTGAGGTCCCAAAGCATGTGGGTAGTTCTCTAAACTAGGGCTCCTTTTTAGGTCACCGAAACAGTACGGCCTCCTATAAACCAGGACCTTAAGATTAAAAGGGACCTTAATTTAGAAAACTGCCCATGTGCCAAAGTTGAAAATAATGGAACTAGGTCTCCCAGTGGGCTCTTTGTTCCCATTTTGTGGTCTAAAGCTTTCCCATGCCAAAACGGGTGCCTTTTTTTTGATTCCTGGGTGAACCTAAGCTTAACCCTAAAGCCCAAATTCGGGGATCCTTGAGTAGCTCCAGCTGCCTTTGACGAGGGTGAGGGCTTCACTGACAAAAGCAGCTTCGGGTGACCGGGGCTCTAGGGTTTCGGGCTTCACGGTTCAAGGTTTATGAGGGTTTAGGGTTTAGGAGGGTTCAGGGTTTGGGAGAATTTAGGGTTGCGGGCTTCAGGGTTGTAGATTTTAGACTTTATGGTTTAGATTTGCAAGAGTTTGGGGCTTCAAGGGCAACATCCCAACACTAGAACAGCAAAGAATGATGCTACAGCTCTGGGTCTAAATAGGGCCTAGGGCTCATAGGATTTATGTTGAACTAGGACCTAGAGTAGGCCCTTATTCCCTTTTTCTAGGGTTCAGGTTCCCTTATAAGCCCCTTTAAACCAAAAAGGGCACCCTTTTTATTCCTAGGTTACTCTTAGGTCTAGTGAAGGGTGCCAGGCTTGGCGGGCACAGGGCCTCTCAGAGGTTGTGGTGTAAACAGTCAGGCAACCTCCAGCCTTGGAGCGGCTTAAGTCCCTAAGGGTCCATGTACTCATAGGGGAGTTTCCGAAAATTAGGGGTACCTTATTTTTGGGCCCTTATAATAAGGATCCTAGTATTTAGGGTACTATATTGGGGTCCCCTATTTTCGGAAACTCCCATATAGTGTATACATTGGCCTTAAAGTACTCCTTATACAGGTACATTGGGCCCAAAGTATAGGCCATATGGGTACATGGACCCTTAGGGAGTTCGGCGTGAGTACAGGTCGCAGTTCAATTTTTGGTTTTAGGGTTCAGGAGTAGGGGTCAAGGGGTGTAGTTCAGGGACCCCCCAAGTGATGAAAATGAGCGCTGAGGGCCGTTTCTGAATGTGGGGTTGCAGCTTTCAAGATGCCGTACTTGGCTGCCCCAAACTCAGAAGTCAAACATAGACGAGGATGCCTTTTGTAAGTTCTGCTATGTCTTGGAGTGATTGGCGGTGCTGTATGTCCCCTTACTTGGGTTTAGGATCGTGAACAGTAGCAAAAGTGGCCTAAACCCTATGCTCAGGACCCTAAACCCAAACGATTAGGGCCTTAGTTACCTGAAGCCGAAGATGCAGCAGGAACAGGACGACATCTTTGGCAACCCGATGATGCTGAGCATCCTGGCCGCACAAAAACGGTTTGAGGTTTATGGTTCAAGGTTTAGGGAAAGAAAAACATTGCGTTGAACCCGCTTAAGGTAGGGGTTTAGTGTGTGCACTGCAGGAGACTTGACTTAGCCATATCCTTTGGGGTATCTTTGCGATTTCCTGCCTTGGCACTAGGCCCCCAAACCCTACAACCCTGAACCCTAATCCCTCGAATCCCACGGCCCTATGCTCTTAAAACAAAATCCCCTACCCAGAGAGCCCAATACCCCTTAATTAAGTAACATAGCTTAACTCATAATATGGAGCCCCATATGATTTAAGCCATATTCCTTAATTAAGGGGTATTGGGCTCTCTGGGTATATCCTGAAACTCCTAAGCCGCACATCTCCAAACCAGAAGCCTTACTCTAACGACCTTTTTTTGGAGTTTTGGTGGTTCCTTAAAACAATTATAGTATAATGGACCCCCAAACCCTGTTCGAATCATTAAGGCCTTAATCTAAACACCTTTTTTTGAGAGAGGGGCCATCGGTGAGCTGAGGGTATTTGTCGTTTCTCTTGAGGGTTTTGTAGGGTTCTGAAGAGTTGGTGTCCGAAGGTTGTTAGGGCTTAAGGGTTAAGGGTTTTGTAGGGTTCTGAAAGAGTTTGTGTCTGAAGGTTGTTCGGGTTTGGGGTTTAAGCGTTAAGGGTTTTGTAGGGTTCTGAAAGAGTTTGTGGCTGAAGGTTGTTCGGGTTTGGGGTTTAGAAGGGTTTAGGGTTTTGTAGGGTTCTGAAAGAGTTCGTGTCTCAAGGTTGTTAGGGTTTAAGAGTTTAGGGTTTAGGGTTTAGGGTTTGGGATGTTGAGGTTTAGGGTTTAGGGTTTAGGGTTTGGGATGTTGAGGTTTAGGGTTTGGGATGTTGAGGTTCAGGTTGAGGGCTGAGGCTACAGGATATGCGCCAGGGTTCCAGGGATGGGCCTTTGGGGCTCAGGGCGTCCGAACCTCGGGGTCCCGTAAAGGGGGCCCCTCCAGAAAGAGCATCCGCATAGAATCAGTTGTAGGGTTTAGGATCATACGCAGCAGTTACAGACCGTAAGCCCCACAGTAAGTGTAACAGTAAGCACGCTTTTGTATACTTGGACTTGCAGCCTAAGGGCAGGGGTCTTGCACCAAACCCTAAACCTTTAGGCCTAGACTCCAATCTCCAAGCCCTTAATGTTAAATAGCCCTCTCGCAAACCCTAACCCCTATTCCCCAAGCCCTGACACCCTAAACCCAATCGCAAACCCTAAACCCTACACCCTAAGACCATCCCAAACCCTGAACCTTGTATACTTGGCCCCAAACCCTAATTCAATCTTCGATTTTCATGGCAACTCTCTCTAAGGTATGCTGCTCTGCTACCTCTCGCCCAAGGCACCGTGGCACGATCGGTCTCCGGCTAATGCTAATTTAGCTACCAAGTGCCCAAGCCGTCTTATATGGTGTTTTTGGCAAGAGGTCCCCAACATCTGTATTCTTAGAGCCTTAGGACCGTAGGAATAGTGAGCCAACATGCACGGCCTAGCGTTGTTTTTTAGAATACGTTCACAAAAAGGGAAACACAAGGCCAAAAGCCAGGCCACAACGTCCATATTAGTGGTGCCTCTTCGTACTTGGTCCCTCAAGATTTCAGAATTCTAGGACTTTAAGGCTACTCTTGGTCCCAAAATTATACTATGAACAAGGACAGCGCGGACAATCATTGAGATGAAGGGTCTGCACCTCGAAGTTGCACGCGAAACAGCGCAGAAGGTTTCACCTGCAGGCGGCTTTGGATGTAGTGTTTAAGCTTTAGGCATTAGGGTTTCGGGTGGGGGGGGGGGTAGTTCGCGGACCCTAAACCGTCCCAAGCGTTGAGGCCGGCGATGAGACGGAGCATCGCAGCCCTGCACCTCGTCGAAGTTCTGCCAGGGCTTGTAGGGTTTAGGGCTTATAGGGTTTAGGGTATAAAGTTTCGAGTTAAGTTCAGGGCTTAGGATTTAGGGTTCAAAGTTTCGGGTTTTCAGGACTCAGCGGCTGGGTGTAAAGGTTGGAGGTTGGGGCTTAGGTTTATGCTTTGGGAGATCGGCTTTGAGGGCTTCAGGTTTGGGTTGAAGGCTTAGGGCGAGGATGATGAAATCTGCGAGTTTACCCGATAAGGCTACTCTCGGGGTCGGGATCATTACCTGTACTATGCCTTATAAGGCTCTATAGTGGCAATTCTTATTGTAAAGGTCCGAAACAGGGTCAAGTAAACTTCAGTCGCAGACTCTCAGAGTTATGTAATTCCGTAAGAACCTTCCGCAGAACCCTTCTCAATGCGTAAAAAAACACAGAACCCCCAAAAAGTGGCCGTGAGCACCAAGAGCATGTGCACCGCGATGAAAAACACGCTGCACGTTAAACTATAAGCCGGCCACCATAGACCCTAGACTCCAGGCGCTAAGCGGTAAGTGTAACAGCGTGAGCAGCTCAGGCAACGGATGGTGAAGGGGTTGTGGCCCCAGCCGGTGGATTCCGAATGGCTCTTTGCCACAGCGCAGGGAATCGTAGTTCTGAAACTTTGGACTACAACTGCTGATGTTATAAATCCTGCATTACCTTAAGGACCCTAAACTATGGGAATTATGGTATATTCCTTATAATGGGTCATGCAGGATTTATATCATCCACCGAAGTGACTTAGGAGCTGGTTCCATAATCTGCAAGTTATAAGCCTGGAACCATCGTCTTGCTGTGAATCAAGGCCGTTACGGTAAGCCCAGAAGCCAATTAGGCCTTCGGACAGGGCGAGCTACTCGCATCGGGATGTTGTGAGGTTCAGCGATATGCACATGCAGTACAATACGAAGAGTCCTTGCCGGATTCCTTTACAAAGTGTCTATGTGGGGTTACTATAAAGGTCATCTGAAGTGTTTAACCTGGACTGTGGCTTCGGGGTACATTGCAGTATAACTATGTGTTCTGGCAACTTATGAACCAAATGGGCATAGTGTACCTGAACTAATTACTAAACTACAGAGGTTGCACAAGGTGAGTTCACTCAAGTTGCTGTTCTCGGAAGCTTGCCCGGGATGAAGGACTCCGCTGAAGTTCTACCCAAGCCTGATCTCTTCCAAGATGATGAGAGCTTCGCTCTTCGCTCTTGGAGTCCTGGAGACTACTACAGCTATTATCTTACCGTTCGGCCTTTCGAATTATCTGGTGGTGCATCTTGAATTCCCACAGTTTCCGAAATGGTCCGAGGTATTTTAGTTACATACAAGAAAGTAGGGTTTCTATAGTAGGGATTGTTGTTAAGCTTTACGCAAGTATCCCCCATATAGGCATTCAGGAGCCTTTGAGGAGTACTTGGACCCTGGGGGCAACCCAAACACGGCTAGGATGAAGCATCCCCTAAACTCTGTCTGCGAATGAGGATACTGAAGCAGCAGCGGTAATATAGGGGCCTACTTAAACAATTGCCAATGCTATTTTGGGGGTTCTTTGTTATAGTTATAGTATAATGGGCCCCATGCAAAACCCTATTCTAATCATTAGCGCCCTTGTAGTGGCCCCCCTAAACCCTACTTGTAGCCGAAAAGACCTTCCTTGTTATGGTTTCTGTATATAGTTCCTTACAAAGGTAGGTCTTCTCGGTTACAGGTAAACCCTCAACAAGAGCAAGATGGACCCAACAAGTGTCAAGGTGGACCTGATGGCAGTCTACCGCGTATCCGTGACCGTCATGCCGCCTTCCCAGAGAGTCATAGGGACCCTTACGGCGGGGAAACGGATTCTATAAGGGTTCCTTAGGGTTCCTCTAAAGGGAGCTATACGGGACCCTTAGGGGGGTAGAGGGGGAGGGGAGCAGGCGACTCTTTGTCTTTAACAAGGCCTTATTAGGTCCTTATGCTCAGCGTCGTTTAATTTAATGGGAGCTTCCAGAAATAGGGGTACCGTATTTGGGGGTCTTCATAGTAAGGATCCTACTATTTAGGGTACTAGATGAGGGTCCCCTATTTTCGGAAACTCCCATTTACAGTAGAAGCCCCAAAGTTGGAAACCCAATAGCCTCAATCCTTAAGTGTAATGCATAGAGAATCCCAGCACTATTTGGTTGATCCGGCTTCCAACTTCATGGGGTCTACTCTGAACTAGTCGTAGCGGAAGCGGCAAACCCTAAACCTTCTTGTACTCAAACTGAGGACAAGATCCTGCCTGATCCTTATTAATATATAGTGCTTACGAGCCTGGAAAAAATGCGGAGTTCTTCGGAGGCAGATACGTAGAGGGTCATACCCCACCCCCTTTTTAGGGTACCTAGTTCTATGGTTAGGATCTCCTATATAGAAAAGTCGGTACCCTAAACAAGGGGTAGGGTATGAGCCTATAGGTAGTCGGGTTATAGAAGCAAAGCCGCATAAGGCTCCCGCCCAAAGACCATCTTTTGACGCATTGGCCTTTGGGCCAATCAACGGCTACTTGCAGCCTCACCCACGTAGTTCCATGGGGTTCAGTGAGAATCTTGCCCGCTGCACTGGAGAGAATGGGCGCTATGATGCTATGCTGTTACGTGCCGGTTAGCACGGTTGTAGCCCACCTGCTGAACCCTGCACTGCATGGAACGTAAGGCCCACAGAATAACGGCTTTGCTGTTGTGGCTTCGGTTGGTAGCCTTTCCGGGTGACAGAAGGTAGATTTCTCAAACCTCAAACACCAACACTCGCAACCCAACGCCGAAATCCGAAAACTCAACTACCCAGAGACTCCAAAACCCCTTAATTAAGGAATATACCTTAAATCATATTAGGGATCCTACTATAATTTAAGCTATATTCCTTAATTAAGGGGTTTTGGAGTCTCTGGGTACCACAGCCGGAACCATCCCGCAGGCTCAAGCGAATGCTGTTGCAGCAGCAGGCAACCCGAAGGGTTCATGGTTCCGCAGGGTTGTCCTGACAGTCCCAAGGACCCAATAAAGGGAACTCCAGAAAGTTGGAATATGGATTAATGGTAGGATTCCCTATAATTTACCTTAAAGGGCTTACGATAATGATATTCCAACTTTCTGGCTTCTACTGTAATGAGGGACTTGGGTTTAGGACAGTATTTGTTTAGGTAAGTATTTGGGAGAGTTAGGACAGTGTGTATGTAGGTAAGTCGTTGGGAGAGTGCTGGTAGCTGATTACTAGGTACTTGTGGAACCCTGGCGTTGTGGATGAGCAGAAACATCACAACGAAAAAGGTGCAACGGGTTCTTCAACAAAAACAATAGCATGTACACCTTTAGCCAAGCCCCTAAACCCTAAACCGCAGCTCCATTGGGCATTTGGGTGGTTCTCTAAAATTCGGGCCACTTGTCAGGTGCCCGAAGCAGTATGGCAGACTTACAACCCCAAGATTCCAAGTACCTTACAATCATATACTTCCCTAAGGGTCCATGTACCCATATAGAGATACATGGGCCCCAAAGTACCTATATAGGGACTACATTAAGGCCAATGTATATACTATATGAGTACATGGACCCTTATGGGGCTTTCCCAAATCCCAACCTACATAATCCTAAAACTGACTCTCTGATTATTGGTTCCTGTGGACCCTTGGGGAAAAACCCTGATTTAGAGAACTACTCATGTACATCTAGGATTGGAGTTTCGGATTTACATGTCGAGCCTTGGCGCTCGGAGCTAGTGCGACGGAAACGTACACCAAGAAGCCTGAGTGAAGGACTACATCCTATCTTACATTCTGCGCCATGAACAGGCTGAAGATGCATCATCTTCTATACCGGCTTAGAGCTTCGGGGTTCTTCTAATTACGGGACACATGTCTGGCTGGAATCTGAACCCTCTTCGCATGAACAGCTTTATCCTAGCTTAGTATAACACCCACATATGGCCCTCATAAAGTCCTATTGATCAGTTCCTCTGAAGCAAGGCCTGTTGAACCCTAAACCGTTTCAGTCGACAGTGAGATGAACAGGCGGACCGCCACATCAACGAAGAGCTGTTGGAGGAGTTTCATGTTCAGCCGCTTGCTAACAAGATGCTCCGCAGATACCGCGAAGCCAAGACCTGCAGCCATACCCGAGCTTCAATGCCACTAGACTCACTCCGCATTGCCATCAAGGGTTACATACGCATCTTGCTGGGGGGAAGCGATGTTAGCCAACCCTCCCATCAGCACTGAACCCTACCTGCCAGATTTTTTTTGTTCCGGCAGCCAGCTTGAATGATTGGGATCTTGCAGCACAGAAGGAAGGCAAAGAAAGAAAGAACTACACTGTACTTACAGGGTCATGGGAGTCATGGGACTTAGTAACTAGCGTTATAATTAGAGTAACTATACTTACAATTGCTTATAACCCAATTAGGGTACTTATAACCCTACTTACTAAGCCCATGATCCTCCAAGTAACTACACTCCAGGACCTCAGCAAGGTTTAAAGAAGGGTGCAGAGACTACCGGTGTAGGAGATGTAGAATAAATGCCTACCTGGACCCGTAGGTTCCCTACCTTTTTAGGGCCCCCTCAGATGACTTCTTTATATAAGTCCCTAAAAAGTCAGGGGTTTGCCCAAAGGTCCTATGTACCGTTGTAGTAGCATGTAGGGTTTCCATATTAGGAATTACTATTATGACTTAGGGAAGTATCCCCCATAACAGTACATAGGAGCTTGTGGTTTAGGGCTGCAAATCGGACAGGACTGTTCACGCGTGCTGGAGAGAGCCGCGATGAACATGCAGGCTCCAGCAATGGGTCTCCTTGCCCAGACCCCCGGGCGGATCCCTCAATGGGGGTTCCTATAAAGTACCCTTAGTAGTATAGGGCCCCAAGTTAGGGGATCTACTTTCAAGATCCTCCGGGGGTCTGGGTGGTGAAGCTTGAAATCTTTAGTAGGTTGTGGGTCATGCCCGCGGTCTTGCTGTTACGCACAGCTTCAGTCTGAAAAAGCCCAGAGTCCCGATGCAAACATTCTGGCATGACTGCCGGATGCTACGATCAAGTACAGGTAGCCAAACAATTTGTAGTTTTAGATCTGTTGTGTACTGGCTAGGGGTCTTGTCGAGTATGAACCCAATCTCCAAAACTCAACGCCAAATCCTCAAAGTCTCCTCCGAAAAGGCAAAGCGAGACACACAGATCGAGTGTGAAGCTTTCGAGAAGGACCCCTGGAGCGGGTGGCGGTAAGGATTCGTGAGGATTCAGGGTTGTAAATCCGAAACACTATCCCTACATCTATGCACTTCGGTCTTCAAGCGGTTTCTTAACCACAGGGTTCCCACACTACAGGGCCAATGTATGCACTTTGTGGGTGGTTCGCAAAATTAGGGTCCCTTTTTGGGCCTATTATTTAGGGTACCCAAATGGGGGACCATAATTTGGACAACCACCCATATGGGCAGTTCTTGCTTGGGTTTTGCGGCTCAACTCCAGCACTGCTTGAGCTGGACCAGTAGTGGCTGTCCCTAAACCCTAAACCCCTAGACCCCTAAACCCTAAACTCTACACCTTAAACTCTTTTCTTAAAAACACTTTAAACCTCTAAACCCTAAGCCCAAAACCTAAACCCTACACCCCTAAACCCTGAACCCCTTAGACCCTCAACCCTCGACCGTGGAGTCTTTGGAGTCTGAGATTCGTCGAAGGCTGTTGAGTCGGGCGTTTTGAATGTATGCCACTTCAGCTTGACGCTTGAGGGACTTTGGGTTTAGGGTTTAGGGGTTTAGGGTTTAGGGTTTAGGGGTTTACGGTTTTAGGGTTCAGGGTCAAGTGAGGTTCTCAAGTAGTGTCATGTTGTTCTTGATTTATTTCCGGGGGTCGGGTTGAAAGCTGACAAACAACAAACAAAACGGTCCCTTTTGTTCAGTGGGTGCTGGGGAACTGGGACTAGGTTCCTGAGCAGTACCCTGTTGTCTTTTTGCTGTTTGCGTTCCCTTCTTAAATCCAAAGGGTAGCAAAAAGGGTACGCTTATCATTAAGGGGCCACTCCCCTAAACCCTAAGCCCCTAGCCCTAAATCGCTAAACCCCAAACCCTAATCCATAAACCCCCAAACCCTAAACCCTGAACCCCTGAAAGGGGAGGCGTATTATTCAGGGGCCACTCAGGAACCCAGGGCAGTCCTTATACACCCATGTCAAGGAAACCCCTACTCTTTAAACTTTTAACTCCCCTACATTACCATAGGCCCCAAAGTAGTTCCTTTTTTGGGATTACCTTCAGGATTTGTTCATGGGAGTTTCCGAAAATAGGGGACCCTAGTATAGGACCCTAAAGACCAGGATCCTTATTATAAGGACCCCCAAATAAGGTACCCCTAATTTTCGGAAACTCCCAAAGATGAACCTCAAAAAGGAACTACTAGGGGAGTAAGGATGACATCGTGGTTTAGAGTTTAGAGTTTAGGGTTTAGGGTTTAGGTTTCGAGAACAAGATCCGTGCGCAAAGAAGTGGGACCAAACAAAACTGTATCATGTTCTATCATACTGTTGATGGACAACCCTGCATGACCCATTATAAGACATATACCATAGTTCAAACAGTTTAGAGTCCTTGGGGTCATGCAGGATTTTGTCCATCAACAGTACCATAATATGTATCATACGGAATCATAGTATAACTCTACCATAACTTACATAAAGCATGAGTGTAATCTAACGTCGAAAGCACACTTCTACTGTGTCTTAGGAAAGTATCCCCTGAGCTCCCTCAGGTGGGCTACGGTCGATGATATAGCTCCTGCATTACCTTAAGGACCCTGAACTGTGAGATTGATGGTACATCCCAGAGGGTCCATATACACTACCATCGTGGAATTAGGTCCCAAAAGGCCATCCTTATTATGATTTTGGGAACCTAATTCCAGAATAGTGGTATAGATGTATCCTCTTGGTATTCCTTATTATGGAAAGTGTAGGATTTATACCATCAGCCGTGGGAGCTCATGACCTCCCCTGGAGTTCAAGACCGAAAAACCCTAAACCCTAAACCCTAAACTCTAAACCCTAAACCCTAAACCACCAGAAATCGAAGATGGGCCTCCCTCCGACTCCCAGAATCCTAATATAGGGGCGTTGAATAACTACCTATACTATAGGCCTTAGGATGCCTTTAAAGGGGTTTTACAGGGGCTGCTGTGAGGGTTTAGTACAAGGGCCGTAATAACCACCTAGACTATTTTGGGGGTTCCTTTTTATAGTTATGGTATAGTATGCCCCCAAACCTTATTCTAATTATGCAGGCCTCTGTATTACAGACCCTAATCTTTCGCGTGCGCGTCTACGGCTTTGGATTAAGGATGTGTACCAGGAGGGTCCATACAAACTGGCTACTAGTAGGTCCGAAAAGTCTTAATAAGGATGGTCTTTTGTTTAAAAGCATAATGGCGGTAATTGGATGTGGACCTTCTGGAGTAGTGCATGTTGATTGCGGGGCTCTGCTTCATCCACTCCTCAGCGTTTGAAACGCCAAGGAGCTTACGATCCAACTGAAGGAACGCTTCTGCCTCAGTGACCAACGCAAGGATTGCGAAACCGTAAACTGTAAGGTGTGCGCAGGGTGATATCAGAACTGCAGTTCTGAGTACAATAAACACGGACCAAGAGATACCGGCCTAGCGACATGAATCCAGCTGGAAAAAGTGCCATAACAAGAAGCCTGGACACGGAGAAAAAAGTGAATGCTGAGTCATGAGTTCAACTTAGAGTTACTTAACTAATCTTCATGTTTTGCGATTAGACTCCCTAAGAAACAGGTGTAAAAATGCAATGCTTGCTCGGGGTCTAAGTTCAGTATAGTCAAGTTAAGGGTCAAGGGTTGAGCACTTGAAGGGTGATAGCATCTTGAACCTGCCTAGCTGCCTCCATTGAAGGTTTAGGGTTTGGGGGTTCGGGGTTTAGGGTCTAGGGTTTAGGGTTCATAGAAGAGGAGCTCCTGCAAATCCTGATAGGGCGCCCTGCAGTCTATGAGGCTTAGCTGTACAGCCCGTATAAGGCTCCATGTACCCATATAGTATATACTTAGGCCTTAAAGGGGTTCCTATATGGGTACTTTAGGGTATAAGTATATACTATATGGCTACATGGAGCCTTTGGGCAGGCAGCTTTAGTTTGGAATTGGAAAGCCGTATTGCAGGTTTAGGGTCTTCACGACGGATGTGTTTCCTGTAGCACCCGTGATGTTTTTGCTACCCCAAATTCCCCGAGACCTTCCCAGAGGAAGCTGTTGCAATACCCTCTAGGCAAACGTGCACGGCGGCTCTGGTTTCTACTTCATAAAGATTCCCTAAGGTCCATGTACCCACATAATAGATACTTTGGCCCTAAAGTACCTATCTATCTATTTATCTATATAAACACACTTCGGGACTGCTTCAAGGCCCATGTATATACTATATAGGTACATGGACCCTTAGGGATTTTCGAGAATGTAGTATCTTTCGCAAGTAATTTGTCTTTGAGTTTGACGACCGCCTGAGTGTTTGACTTGATGTTTCGTCTGCCCCAAACCTAGACCCTAAACCTTGAACTCTAAACCTAGGCTAATCCCTTAGACTCCATGTGCCCATATAGTAGGCACTTAGGCCTTAAAGAGGTCCCTGTATGGGTACTTTAAGGCCTGAGTACCTACTATATGAGTACATGGAGCCTTTGGGAATCGAGCCTTGAGTCCCAAATCTAGAAAGTAGATCCCCTAATTTGGGGCCCTGTACTACTAAGCGTACTTTATAGGAACCCTATTAGGGATCTACCTTTTGGATCCTCCCGGGGTCTGGGCTAAGTCCCAAAGAAAGGCTGGACAAAGAGCCTGCATTTCTAAGGACTTATATAAAGAAATCATCACAAGGAACCCTAAAAGGTAGGTTATTCAGGGTCAAAGGTAAGTCCCTAGAAACGGGAATAAGGGAGCCCTAAACCCTAAACCCCAAACCCCTAAACCCTAACCCCTTTAAACCCTAAACCCTAGACCCTTAAAAAAAAACCTAAGCCCCTAAACCCTGAAGACCCCTTATAGAGCCCCAAAGAAAGGCTGGACAAAGAACCTGCGAGCCTCCGTCGACCTCGGGCGCGCTATGCTGCTCCTGGGCTCTGCAGCCTTGGGCTCCTCTTAGGGTTTAGGGTTTAGGATTTAGGGTTCAGGGTTTAGGGTTTAGGGTTTAGGGTTCAGGGTTTAGGGTTTACGGTATATCCTAAGGGTGCAGGTATCTCCTTAGGAGGGTCCGGAATGTCCTAGGGAGAGTCCTTGGGTCTCTTGGGGTGTCAGAAACCCTCAGTTTTCAGGCTCCACAAGGGCTCCTTTGAGGGGTTTAGTGTAGCAGTTTAGGGCTTCAGGTTTAGGGTTTAGGGCCAATTTTTTACGGTTCTTTTTAGGGTTCCTGTTAGGGTTTAGTTCAGAACCCTAAACCCTAAACTCTAGTTTAACGGTTTAGGGCTTAGGGCTCCGTTTAGTGTTTAGTTCAGAGCCCTAAACCCTAAACCCTAGTTTCGCGGTTTAGGGCTTCAGGTTTAGGGCTTAGGGCTCCTCTTGGGGTTTAGCTTAGAGCCCTAAACCCTAAACCCTAGTTTCGAGGATTAGGGCTTCAGGTTTAGGGCCAAGTCTAGGGTTCCTTTCCAGGGTTCCTTGTAGGCTTCCTTCTAGGGTTCCTTTCTTAGGGTTCCTTTTGGGGCCTTTCAAGGTTCCTTCTGGGATTCCTTTGGTCTTCGGGAACCTACGAGAATTTAAAGGGCTCCTGTTTCGGCATCATTAAGAAGGGTTCCGTTTAAAGCACCCCGTTTCGGGTTCTCTTGAACGTTTAAGGTGTCGGAATGCCTTCAGAATCTGGGCTCCAAACTTCCAGGGTTCTGTTGAAGTCCTCCCTTGAGGGCTCCCTTCAAGGGTTTCGTTTAAGGGTCCTCTTTTTGGGGCTGTTTTCAGCATTCCCCAGTAGTACCCTTATTCCCTTTTTGTAGTCCTAGGTCTTATAAAGTGGGAGCCCTTTTTATTCCTAGGTTACTGGGCATCCTAGTTAAAGGGCTTCAACTGTGTCGGAGGTTCGGGGCTTAGTTGATTCCAGCTAGGAATTTTAACCCTAAACCCTAAACCATAAACCCTAAACCATAAGCCCTAAACCCGAGTTTAGGGTTTAGGGTTTAGAATCGAGCAATCAGCTTGCGGCAATGCTGCCCCTACGGGATCTATAGAGGTCCCTTAATGGGCTCCTTCTGGGATCTATAGGCATCCCTTTAAGGCCTGCTTCCAGCGATCCATAGTAACTTTCAATATTACAGACTTCGGCTTGGTTTCCCGAAGGCTCCTTGTACCCATATAGTATATACTTGGGCCTTAAAGGGGTTCCTATATGGCTACTTGAGGGTATAAGTATATACTATGTCGTGGCTACATAGAGCCTTTGGGTTTCCAGGACAACCTTGACATGTTCACCATTTTCAGCATCCCTGACAGCAGCGTCAAGGGTATGGTAGTTCTTGCTGATTCCGTGTGTGGCCACTCATTGGTCTTCATGAAACTTTAAGCTTATGCTGTATCCATGCCTCATGAAACTTTTCAGACAGCCCAAAGCGCCACGCCCTAAATCTAAGCCCTGCACAGTCGATCATCAATTAACCCCTAAGGGTCCATGTACTTATACAGTATATACTTTAGGGTCAGTGTATACTCATATGGATACATGGACCCGAAGGGAACAAAACCACCCAAACTCTACACCGTCATCCACGCGACGAGAGGTTGCGCATGCATCGCGAGGGCAACAGGACACGGCTGCCGAACCCGGGGCTCAAGTGAAGGTCTAAGGTTCGCAGAAGGATTGTAAAGCAGGTGCTAGGTATGCCCTTGTTCCCTTGTTTAGGGCTCAGGTTCCTTGATAGCACCCTTTAAACCAAAAAGGGCACCCCGTTCGTTCCTAGGTTACTCTTAAGTCGAGTAGAAGGACTGTAAAAAAGGAGCCATTATTATACAAGCTATTTGAGGGAATGTGTGGGTTGTTTTTGGGTAGGTGTAAGTTAAGTGTCGGGCAGAACTTGTCGTGGCGGGGGAAACCCTGGTGGTTGCCTCCACGTGCTTGTGAGTGTGGGGAGGGCTGAGGGTTTACAGTTTAGGGTTTAGGGGTTTAGGGGTTTAGGGTTTAGGGTGGGGGCCGAGTGAGGTGACTTCGATTGAATGCGCCTGATTCCGAACACATGTAGGCAGTTCCGACACGAAGTGCTGCCTGAAGAAGTCCACTTTCTTGCATATATATATATATATATATATATATTATATATATTATATACAACGTCCACATGTACGTGTGCGCATACAGTTATATAAGCTCTCTCTCTCTCTCTCTCTCTCTCTCTCTCAATATATATATATATATATATATATATATATATATATATATATATGTATATATATGTATATCCACACATATATCGCATGCCCTGGGCGTGCTGAGCAGGACCATGATCCGCTTCATGATCAAAGGTTTTCAGGACTACTTCTCTGCCTGTGCCTGGACATAGCAGTGGTTCAAGGGTTTAGCATGAACTAGCTGTATGACTCTACACCCAGAGGCTTCATAGCAGTTCCTGTTGGGGGTTCAGATTTAGAATGAACCCTATAAGGTAATCCCAAAAAGGAACTACTATAACGCCTATGGGTAGTGCCACCTTAAGTTCCAGGGTCCACGTACCCGGACCTTTTCAAAGCCGCAGCATACACTTTACACGTTCTGGGACCTCTTTCGGATACCTTAAACTACGACTGTACCAGTTAAGGCCGTTGGGCCAGGAGTCTCTTATGCAGGATATATATATATATATATATATAGGTTTGAGGCTAGACTCTTGAATGTTGGTGTAGAGCTTCAGGTAGAGTTTCTCGTTCAGCATGCAGCCCTATCAGAGTTCTAGTCCAGGAACATAAATCTTTGCGTTCAGGATTTATGCTAGATGTTGTCTTTCCCGCCTTACTAGAGCCGTTGAGGTGAACGGAGAGGTGATCTTTGTATGCGCTGATCCCCCGAGGATAGGTACGGGTTGCAGGTTTTCAAGATAGGGCTGGTGGTACTTTGGGGCTTTCGGGGTTTGGTAGCATCTTTGGTACAGGGATTCGCACCTTTGGGGTTCCCAGAGAGCCCAATACCCCTTAATTAAGGAATATGGCTTCAAGGGCCTCATATTAAGATTTAAGCTATATTCCGTAATGAAAGGGTATTGGGCTCTCTGGGTTCGCCGTTCGTGTGTTCAGGTTCCTGTTCGTTCGCTTCAATGTCTTACCCTACAGGGTCCATGTACTCATTTAGTATATACATTGGTCTTAAAGTACTCCTTATGTAGGTACATTGGGCCCAAAGTATATGCTATAGGGGTACATGGACCCTCAGGGTTATGCATTTCCTGGTTGGCGGTCTGGGCTTTCGAACTTCGGGTTTGTCCTGTACCTGGACCCCAAAAGAATGTAGAATAGTAGCCGTTTATAAGTTTTGGGCTTAGGTACGGCCCCCTTACAGTAAGAGTCTATAATAGGGCTACTATTAAGGTCCTAATATTTCTATATTATGAATATTATTCAACTATTACTGACTGGGGGCCGTGCCTAATTTTGGGCCAATATTTTACATACTTTTTTGGGGGCGTCTAGGTAGTACAGAGGTTTCAGGGTCCAGGTATCAAAGGGGAAAAGGAGGGACCCTTAATGGGACCCCTACCCTATAATGGGCTATATAATGGGTATATAATAGCTATATTATGGGTATATACCTAGGGGTCCTTATTATATAAGGGTCCCTCCTTTTACCCTTGGAAAGTACTCATCATTTGAGGACTTGGGGTGCCGTTTTGAGTACCAAAGCCCATAAATAAGGCCTACGTGGACGCTTAGGGGAAACAAAGAAACCAACAACATAAGCCACAAATGAGGGTCAAGGCAAACCACGCGGCTCAAGAAGCTCAGCTTACCTGTAGTCCCCGTGGTAGTCCGTTGTTTGCTTAGACTATTTTAAGAATTGGGATCCTATAAGGCTTACCCGCCGGAGTACCTTGCAGTCCGATACATTCGTTGAGGGCAGTAGCAGTTATGGGTATAAGTACAGCAACACACTAAAAGCTTACGTAGTCCTAGCCAAGGAATCCCAGACTGGGTCTCGTTGGAAGACCAAGAATCCTGGCATTCGTAGCTATATAGTACCCTTATGGTGTCCCTTGTAGTAATCCTTATAGACCCCCTTTTAAAACTATTATAAGGCCCCTTGCCTGAAATAGGAGCCCTACTCATACCAAGCACCAATCCCCCAAACCGTTAATCTCCAGAATCGAACGGCGCCCTCACAACAAAGGATTAAAACTAATTCACAGAACTCCCTTTTTGGCCAAAATCGTAGGGCACCCACCCAAAAAAAAAGAAAAAGACTTTAGAAGGAGCCTGCTTCAGAGAACAACCCTTAACTCAGGTGCCATCAGCAAGGGCGATGACAGCGACCACTTGTTGGACCAGGCCGCTTCACAATCGTAGCCTTTCCCCAACCCTGACAGGTTTGAGGGCCTAGGGTTTGGGGTTAAGAAAGGTTATGACCCGCCCAAATAAGTGGTAGGTAGTTGGGGCTTCGCCAAGTACACCGTAAATCGCGAACTCGGAGTTACGCCGACGTTTTTAGTATTTGATACCACAAGTCCTTGCTCTAATCATTAACGTGCCGAGCTATTCCCCTCAAAAAAACAGCAGATCCGCAACACTGATGCACCCTAAGGCCCTGCAATGCCCCCGGTACACCTAACCTTACTTATACGTCGAGTTCGTATCTACTGACTAAGTCCCCCAATCCCTTAACACAACTCCCCCGCTTAAAGGTGAGCTATCAAGCTCTCCTCAAAGATGACTGGTGGGCGCCGGACTGAGCACAGATAGCGGGAGGTGAAGGGCTCCTACAGTGTTGAGGGTTTGGGGTTTAGGGTTGAGGGCTTCGGGTTTAGGGTTGAGGATTTAGGGTCGAGGGTTTAGGGTTGAGGGTTTAGGGTTTAGTGTTGAGGATTTAGGGCTGAGGGTTTAGGGGCTCCTACAGTAGAAGCCAGAAAGTTGGAACATCGTTATCCTCATTCCCTTATCTGGGCTTTGCAGTACCATACTTTAATACTTTTTTGGGACCTGTTACTTAAAGGGAACCAATTTTGAGAAAAAAGTCTATACTTTTTTCTCCCTAGTTACTTCAATGCCCAGTTATGTAAGGCAAAGTAGAGGGCATCCGAACACTAATCATCCTAAGCACTATAAAGTGTTCAGTGTTTGGGGTTTAGGGTTTCTGGGCTTAGGGTTGAGATGCTTGCCAGAATTGTTGTGTTCGCGGTTGGGGTTGGGGTGGGGCCATTCCGGGTTTTAGCTCAGCGTTCAGTTTTTCTGGCGATTAATTAAAAGGCATGTGACATATGATGTCGCTGGTGAGGCTTTCACTCGGTCAATGGGAGGGAGAACTCAAAACCACTTGGCCTCTTTGTCCCCCTAAACCCTAAACCCTAAACCCTAAGGCCACCTGAGACAGCTGGAAATCTGCTAATTGCACCCCTCAACCGTGAACGGCCCTCAACCCAAATTCCCAACCTTCGACCCCAAACCCTAAACCCTCAACCCTAAAACCAAAACCGTGGGGGCTAGTTGTTGAAGGGGACGAGGTTTTACCTAAAAGAAGGGCCTCAATACATACCTAAACTCTTTTTTTTTTTGAGGGGGGAGGGGTCCTATTGTAATTATGGTAGAATGGGCCCCCAAAACCCTAGTCTAATTATTAAGGCCGCTGCATTACCGAGACCTGCCAATACCCCGTAATTAAGGAGCTTACCCCAAATCATGTTAGGATCCCTAATGTAGTTTCAGGTATGCAGCGGCCTTAATAATTAGAATAGGGTTTTTGGGGGCCCATTATACCATAACTACAATTTAAGGGATATTGCAAGGTACCCAGACACTCCAAAACCCCTTAATGAAGGAATATACCTTAAATTATAGTAGGGATCCCTACTATAATTTAAGGTATATTCCTTAATTAAGGGGTTTGTGGAGTCTCTGGGTATGGGTAGGTGCCGAAGAGTCTCAAGAATCTTGGGAAGACGTCTTTAAGGGAGCCTGAGGTCCTCACGTTTTCGGGTCGTTCAGGGCTCAGGGTGCTTGTGATACCACCCCAAGGGTCCAAAGGACCCAATAAGGTACATGGGTTTAGGATAGTAGTTATGTAGGTTAGTATGAATATGGGAGAGTATATATATATATATATATATATATATATGAGAGTATTAGGTACTTGGACCCTTGGGGTTAGAGGTCGCCATGAACCCTGAAGCCCGTGAGAACAGTTATGGCTATAGTTGGGGTCGCTTTTATGGAATGGAGGAATAGCTGGTGTGGGGTTCCATAAACTTAGTAGCTGAGTACGTAACCTTGACCCTATGGAGGTTTATATAATCCGACCAGAATTGAAAAGTCCAACCTTTATTGGGCTACGGTACTCAGCCCGGAAGAATACAGAAACGAAGCTACGGAATGCTAAAAAGGGGTAGGTCTTTCCGGCTACAAGAGATCAGATCCCCGATGCCCAACCTTTGTTTTTTGGGGGTTCTTATAGTTCAGTAGGGGTCAGAAAGTTTAACCTTTTACTCCATGGTGCTTAGTAGGGAATGGGGGAATGGATCCCTATGATAGTCCCTTAAGGGTCCCTTACTGTAGTCCTTTTAACCCATTCCCCCATTCCCTACTGAGAGCCAGACAGTTCATTTCTGTGGTTTGTGGCGGGGGTACGTAACGACTCCCAAAGCCTGGATCCTAAACCCACCTTTTGGGCCATGTCCCTTCGTTTGGCCTTGGCTTTAGGGATTAGGGTTCTGGGATTAGGGTTTAGGGTTTAGGGTGTGGGGTTTAGGGTTTAGGGGGGTTTAGGGTTTACGGATGATTAGGGTTTAGGGTTAAGGGGGCCTTGGGTTTATGGTTTATAGGGTTTATTCGTTTGTTTGGCCATCTGCTGGCTCCCATGCTGCATAACGGCCAAGGCTCAAATGCTCGACATGCTGGCACAGGCGGGCACGAAGTAAATGTGTTGTTTTTCTAGGATGCCCAGTAGTACCCTTATTCCCTTTTTGTAGTCCTAGGTTCCTTATAAAGTTACCCAATACCAAAAAGAGAGGCCTTTTTATTCTTAGGTTACTGGGTATCCTAGTTTTGTAGAGAGGAGGGGGGGGAGGGGGGAGTCCAGGGCTCCCCAGCCATACAGGGTTCCATGTACCCGAAGAATACAGCGAATGGGTTTGAGAGATGCTTGATTGGTGTGTACATTAGGAAATAATGAACAAATGAACGAAGACACATACATACACACACACATACATATTAGCAGACTTTACTACTAATTACTATACTAGACTATACTTTATTCAACTATATTGTACACTTTTTAAAGATGTACAGAGGCTTGTTGGTCTTACAGCCTCGGGCTGTCTCAGAGACAGAGATGTGAGATGAGTGCGTGCCTCAAGGTTCATGGAATGTTACACGAGGTTGTCGACGGTTTACGAAAGTTCGCTGATCTTCCAGCCCACTGTGCTCCAACACCCTAGACCCCAAAACCCACCTAATAGGTTGCTGCAGTCCCTCTTGTGGTTTTGGTTTTCGGGTAACTAGACTAAGCGGCAAGTATTGTAGCTACATCCCGAATCGCGGACCTACAAACGCTATAGTTTAACCATGGAGCCTGGGGACCGTCTAGAGTCTAGATGCCGTAAGTATCTTGGTAGGCCTTTGGCACATCTTGCAGATTCCCTTATTGGGCTTAAGAGGACATTGTGTACGAGCTTTTTTCCGGAGGTTTGAAGGGCCAACCTAGGTATGCTTGCTTGGCTGGGAAAGATCCTCAAGCGAGGAGGGACAAGACCCAAGCAAAAACGGTCCTAAACCATACTCCTTCATCCAAGAGCATCGGACTTCTTGCTGTGCTCGGTGTTTGCCGGCACTGGCGTGTCCAATTCCCAAACCTTATCCTACACCTCAAACCCTAAACCCGAAGCCCGAAACCATAGCCTCTAGACCCTGAGTCCTAGACCCCAAGCCTGCAACCCGAAACCCGGACCTTGAGGCCCTAAATCCTAAACCCTCAACCCTAAACCCCAGTCTTAAAATCAAAAACAGTCTATGGCTTTTGGGAAGCTTTCGCCAGGCATGGCCAAAGCAGTATGTGCAGCTCATGGAGAAGAAAATCGACAAGTTCAAGGACTGGGGTCTAAAGTTTAGACTTGAGGCTTTCGGATTAGGGTGTTGGAGTTTAGGGGTTAGGGCTTAGTTCTGGGGTTCAGTGTTTACTTGTGTTTTTGGTGTTGGGTTGTTTTCGATTGAGGGTTTCTGTCAAGATGTGTTACGTGTTTGGCCGTTCATCTAGTCCTGGCTGCTCGCCCCCTTAAACATCGAAGCCAGTTTGTTTTCTGTCCTTCTTTTGGCAGGTGAATAGCAGTTGTTTTTCAATCTTGGAGGAATTCTTTATTTACGGTCCTTCCTCCAGGATCCTGGTTTCGTGGAGGTCTGTGTGTCCCAACTGCTGACACTTACAGTTTACAGTTGACAACACTACTTATAAGAGGGTCGGGACTTCGCAGGTAGATTAGCCACATAATTATAATAATTATGCTAACCCCATTGGGATCCCTTTAGCTTTAGGCTAGTTATAGTTGTTTTATTATTACTCAGTCCCCCGACCCTCCAAGTAGGGCACAGTAGCCCTAACGCTGGGATTTGAGTTTGGCGTATCTGTCACTTTGTGGTTCCCTAAGGGTCCATGTACTCATATAGTATATACATTGGCCCTAAAGTACTCCCTGTATAGGTACATTGGGCCCAAAGTATATGCTATATGGGTGGTTGTCAAAATTGTGGTCCCTAGTTTTGGGTCCTTATTGTAGTACGACACCGAATATGTAGGGTTCCCAAAAAGGAGCCATAATTTTGACAACCACCCATATGGGTACATGGACCCTTAGGGCTAGCTCCTAGCCTTCGGGATGACGATCTCGGATTTCTGTTGTGCTGCTTAGCGACTATTATAGGATCCTTAAGGGAGGGTGGTTCAAAGGGGGGAGGGTATAAGGAATCCTTAGGGTACTGTAAGGGAACCTTAGGGAGTACTAGGGAGAATTAGGGATCACTAGGCTATATACCCCCCTTGAACCACCCTCCCTAAGGGTCCTATAATGCTTAGCGACTAAGCGATCTTCTCCCAAAGTGCCAAAGGTAGCAGGTTTAGCCCGTACTTTCCTTATTAGGGTAGCTGCTTTTGGGGTGGCAAAAGGTACAGGTGGGTTGCTTAGTTAAGGGGCTTGGAAGTCAACTATGGGGCTATGAGGACTATAGGGTTTGGGGTTTCGGGTTTCGGGCTCAGTGTTTAAATTTAGAGTTTAGGGCTCAGGGTTTAGGGTGCTTCAGGGCCTGCTATAGGGCTTCGTCAGGGTTTTCCTAAACCCTAAACCTTAAACCCCAAACCTTAAACCTTAAGCCCTAAACTCTAAACTTTGAACCCTAAACCCTAAACCTTAAGGGGAGTTTCAGGGCCGAGCTTGAGCAGTCTTTTTTTTGTACCAGGCTTTCGAGTTGAGGGCTTCAGGGGTGGGTTGGGCTGTGGTTCAAGGGGCTTTTCTTGGCCCTTCCTTATCATCTCTAAACCCCAAACCCCGAACCCTAGCCCCTGAACCCTAAGCCTAAACCCCAAACCATCCCAAGCCCTAGACCCCTAAATCCGTAGCCCTTCTTCCTAAGCAGCTATTCCCCTCAGCCCGGGACCCCGAAAGCTCAAAATCCGCAACACTAAGCCCGGCTCTCGGCATCAGGACTAGGATGCCCAGTAGTACCCTTATTCCCTTGTTGTAGTCCTAGGTCCCTTATAAAGTTACCCAATACCAAAAAGAGAGGCCTTTTTATTCTTAGGTTACTGGGTATCCTAGAGGACGAGCATGGTGGATCGGCTCTCCACCTCGCCGCCAAAGTGGGTCGGAAGCTAAGGTTTGCAGGGGGCTTTCTGAATATAATAGAGTGGCTTGAAGGTTCCTTGATACTTAAGCTTTAAGGGTTCTGTATGGTTCTAAACTGTAGTGGGCTTGAGCTGTAAACTTGCTGTGAACCCCGGCCAGAAGTCAGTTTCGAGAGAATTTTAGTAGCCCAGAATGTTTCCTTCCCTAGAAGCTCATACCCTACCCTTTTATAAGATACCCAGGTTTATGGTTAGGATCTGTCATCTTAAAAAGTATGCGCCCTGAAAAAGGGGTAGGGTATGAGCCTCTAGGTAAAGTCCAGCAGTTCGAAGCGCTAGGTGTGCAGCTGGTTTTCTGGGGGCGTCGCTCTCCAACACCAAATTGGTATAGGGTTCTGATAAGTTCGGACGAGTCAAGGGTCTGAAATGCCGGCATGTGCTTCCTCTACTTGGAGAGTCGTGGGCCTTAGTAAGTAAGTAATAAGAAGACCTGTATGTACCCTAAGAGGGATCCTAATCGGGATTATGATGCCCATAAGTCTATTTACTATCTACTTGCTAAGTCCCCCGACCCTTCAAGTAGGGTAGTGTCATATCTAATGGCTGTTCGAACATCTTAAGTGACTGGCTTGTGCAGGTTGGGGCTTCCGGGTTGCAGTGTTTGCGGCGCAATCCGTCGTAGGATTGCATATATGGGTGTTTCCGAAAATTCGGTGTACCTGATTTGAGGGTCCTTGTATAATAGTAGTGATCCTACTATTTGGCGTACTATACTAAGTAGGGTCCCCTAATTCTCGGAAACTCCCATATGGGAACCCAAAGGCTAGGTCCTCAAGCCAGAAAGTTCATGAACACTTCTTAGGCGACATGGCGAGTATCTGTGTCTGGGTTAAAGCTCCTCAGTACTGGTTGTTGTGCTGTCCTTGCACTACATACTCAACAGCACGACTTACAAGCACGCGAATATTTATCCACAAGCTCGCACGTCCAATGAGGATCATAAACCTAAACCGTCTAAACCCTACGACCACACCAAAACCAGACCTTGAAAAAGGGGAGTCGGTTCGTCAGGGGTCGAAACCATCCCCTCGAGCTTATGCCCAGGTCATGTGCCTATCTTCAGGTTGGTGAAGAAGTTCTCCGACGCCAACCAGGTGACTAAGGGGGAAGCAGTCATTATTCCAAAGATGTACGGGCATATTTCCGTGATATATGTAGTGGTTGTTCTGCGTTTCGGAGTTTCAGAGGAGAAGTGCTCTCCAGTGTGAACTCTGGGGAGCAGGATCCAGAATACCATTTCCGCCACTCGCACTTCTCATTGTGAGCTTGGGCCCTTGGGGGATAGGGTTTAGGGTTTAGGGTTTAGGGTTTAGGATAGGTACTTGGATTGGAGGGTTGCGGCAACAGAGCTTTCACGGCCAGACTTTGCAGCCCGAATCGCGGATTCTAATCAGGAAGACTCCCTAAATCCTTTCCAAAGCTTTTCAAAGACATGAAACCTCTAGGAAAGCTGGAAAATCCCTACAATGCCCGGTACCAAAAGCCATAGTGCAGCCCGAATGGGTTTCCCTAAGGGTCCATGTACTCATATAGTATATACATTGGCCGAAGAGTACTCCCAAAAAGGGACATCGGGCCCAAAGTAAATGCTATATGGGTACATGGACCCTTAGGGTTTGGTTTCTCGGAAGGTTCTTTCGGCGAAGAACGCCGAGGACCAAACGCCGCTCCACGCCCTCGGCTAAGCTGCTTCCAAGGATGCCTCAGGGTGTCTAAACAGTTGGGGGTTTAGGGTTTAGCATTTTAAAGGGTTTAGGGCTTTGAAGGGTCTAGAGTTTAATTAGGGTTTGGGGTCTTGTCTACCCATAGGCTTCGTTGTAGTTCCTTTTTGGGGTTCACGTTTTGAATCCGATAAAGGTAACCCCAAATAAGACCTAGTATGGAGCCTATGGCTGCTTTGGGCTTTTACTTGTGGGATCCCGCATTCAGGGTTTCAGAGGGTTGGTGGTCTTGCTCCAGGTTCCAGAATATCGGGTTTTCGGGCGTATAGGGCTTTCATGTCTAGGCTTTTGGGGCTTCCGGGTTTAGGGTTTAGCATCTTGGGCTCCATGTTAGATGGTTTGCGAGACTTACCCCGTGGATTTGGCGTCTGATGCTAGTACGGTGGAGTCTCTAGGTTTAGGCCCGGTTCAGGGTTTTTAGATGTCTTTCCCCAGACCCTGAACCCTAAACCCTAAACCGCCCAGTTCAGGGTCTTTAGATGTCGTGAGGATAGGGTTCAGGGGTGGCTTTTGGGCCATGCTATAAGCTGCAACCGAATTCGGATACGTTAAGCCTAACCCCCCCCCCCTTTGCAAAGAAGCAGAAAAACATTGCTCAGGTCGCGGCCGAAAACGGACATCATGCTGTGCCCGGGGCCTATTTGCATGTCTTTCTCGAGCGATGCGCCCCTGACTGCTGGGATTCAGGGTTGGAGGCTTAGCGTTCCGGGCTCGAGGTCAAGTCGAACTGTTAAGTCGAGCCATGTAGCTTCGATGTGCTATGTACACTGGACCCACCAGTTGCTTCATATGCAGGCCTTGCGCGTATACACTGCACTGCCGGGTGGTTGAGTCTATGATATTACATGCGTCAGTTAGTGACTTTGTGTGGGAGAGTATCTGATTATTGCGTACCGGGGTCCTTCGGGCAGGGTTTCGGGTTGTGTACCAAGCGATGGCTTGTGCAGACATGGCCAATGGACCCGGCTGATGAAGCAATCGGATGAATTATAGACTCAAACGGAACCCCAAACTTTAAATCCCAAAGCCCCAGAGCTCTAAGCCCTAAAAGCCTAATCAAATAAACCTTGAACCCCAAAGCCTTCCAAACTCTGCGACTTAACTGGGCAGCCAAGGTGCCAGCTTATCATCGAGAAGAAGGCCTGGACTAGTGTCTTTTGGTGATGGCACAACCTGCACGGCTCTGGCTTTCGTGTGCGTTCTTATGATAGCGTGCTATTCGTCGTTGTGCGTGTTTTTGTTAACATACTTGTGCTTGTTGATTTGTGATCTGTCTGATTGGTAGAGATCCCGAACCTCAACTGAGCTATGCCGTTGACGGAAAACGTCAAAGACTCGAACCCTGGAAGCCCTGTAGCCTCAACCCCTTAACCTCCGAAATTCTGAGCCCTTGAACATATCCGACACCTAGCAAAATTCTGCAATAAGCTCTAAACCAGCGATGAAGAGCCACTGCAGCGGAAGGTTTTGTGCTTTTTGCATCCGTGCTTGATCCGGAGAAACGGAGCACTCCACTGATAACTGAATGGCAGGTGTTCATGCAGAGCCCATCTGCTTAAGTGCATGACTCTCAGGTAGACCCCAACATTGAAGAGTGGGGTTCTGCAAGCCGCTTGGTTTGCTAAGCCCTATGGCAAAAGGGTCCCAGCATTCAAGTAGTATATCTTTGGGGCCAAAAAACAGGAGCTGTACTTGCACCTGGCTAAAACCCTGAGCCTGAAACCCTCGACCCTAAACCGCTAAAGCCCTAAACCCCACACAGGGGTCGGTGGATGTGGAAGACAGCAAGGACGGGCTTTCCCCGCGTTTGAGGTAGAGGGCCGAGGGTTCGGGAAAGGAGCGTCTAAGACCAGAAACCTGGTCAAGATCGGGTTTAGGGCTTCCCTGGACCCTCCACAACCTTCCTTTTAGGGTTCACTATGATGACTTTCCTTCTATAGGTCCTTAAAAAGGTAGGTTGTTTGGGGTCACATCATCCGATGGTTCTGTCCATCGACCGGGGTTGTAAACTGGGACCCTAAACCGCAACACCCGTACTTCAGGGGCCTAGATAATTACCAATACTGTTTTGGGGGTTCTTTGTTATAACTTTAGTATCATGGGCCCCAATTCCCTATTCTACTTGTCATTCCCCTATATTAGAGGGTGTTGGAGTCTCTACATCCCTGCATCAGGCCCCAAGCCCTAAATCCTCCGGTAAAGTGGCTCGCAATCGGAATCAGTATAGTAGACTCCAGAAAGTTGGAACCTGGAGTGAGGATGATTAATGCCAGGATGCGCCATACTTTTATATCTTACGGGCATGAGGATGGTAATGGTAATGGTCCGAGTTCCCTGGCTTCTACCATAAGGTTTAGGGGGTAACTGGACCCTAATAAACCTACCTTTCAGGGTTCCGCAACCCTTAATAATACGTCCTTACTAAGACCCTAAACCCTGAACCACTAAAGCCATAAACCCCTAAAGCCTCAAACCCTAAAGCCCTCAACCCCGAACACCCTAAACCCTCAAACCCTAAAACCCTAGATCCTAAACTTTAAGGGTGTTTTGGAGTCTCCAGACCGCTCGCAACCGTAGGAGCGACTGCCATTGCCACGGCCTGAGACTTTCTCGGACTTCCTGAGATTCAGAACCCTGCAAGGACACCTTAAAAGCGGTCTGTAGGATCCTGAAATGACTTAAAGATATGAAACAAGGTCTATAAAATCTAAGGGCGCTTTAGGGCTTTTTTAAGGGTGTACATAGCGGTGGGGAGATCTGAGGATCCTGATAAACGTATTCAATGCCCAAAAGGGGGCCCATCCTAGTTAATGCACTTGAACCATGAGACGGCATGAAAGCCCTGTGAAGCCAGAGGCAGCCTTGGTGGCTCCGTTAGGGGCCTTTCGCGGGACAACAACGGTTTAGCGCTTAGAGTCTAGGGTATAGGGTTCAGGGTTTACGGTATATAGGGTTTACGGGTTTAGAGTTTAGGGAACGGGGTTTGATGAGCGCGGAGGCTCTTGGATTGTTTCTAGGACTTCCTCTCGCGCACCCGCGTTCTGGGGAACGGGCTTGGATTTCTTGCTCCCGGAAGGTTAGAAACTCTCATGTCTAGCATCAGCATGAAGAGACTGTCCCGTCGCAGCTCTTCACTAATATGGGGGCCTTAATTAATAATTACCTATACTATTTTGTGGGTTCCTGATTAATTATAATTGTAGTATAATGGCCCCAAGACCCTATTCTAAGGCCCCTATATGTACCGAAGTCTCTACTGTAAACCGTAAACCGAAAATCCTATAGCCAACCCGCCCTTGGAAGTGATTTTCTGTTGTCGTTGTAGCACGTAATGTTCGCCTTTAACCATACTTTGATAACATTTAGATAAATTTAGATTGTTGTGGGTACTTAAACCCAATAATTAAGGAATGAACATGTAGATTTTCAATGCTATCCCCACCATCAACTACGGTTGATGATATAAATCCTGCATTACCTCAAGGACCCTAAACTATGCTAAATACGGTATATTCCTTATTATGGGTCATGCAGGATTTCTATCATCAACAGTAGGAACTTGGAAGCTGACACCTAGGCCTCAGATCAAGTTTTTGCTAGAAGAACGCAAGGGCTCCGAAACGGCGTCCCTTGCTGCGAACCCCAAACTCCAAACGCTGCAGTATGGTTTAGGGTCGAGGGTACCCTCAACGCCCACACCCCAGATCCCCTTCAAACGCTGATCCTGCAACAAGAAACGCTCCTTCGGCTGATGGTATAAATCCTGCATTACGTACCCATAATACGGAATAGACCATACCTCCCATAGGTTAGGGTCCTTATGAGGTAATGCAGGATTTATATCATCAGCAGTTTCTCAGGCATTTGGCACTCCAGTCCGGACATTTTTCGCTCGCCCGATTTCTTTTGGACAAGCTGGAGGAGGAGGCTTTTGTCTAGATTACTTTGCAAGGTTTAGGGTTTCAAGCATTTGCTGTGCAGCTTGGGTTTAGCTTCTAGGCTTACCTGCCACGTTTTAGAGCCTTAAAGTAAAAGCCAGAAAGTTGCAATATGATTATCCTAAACCCTTTATGGTAAATTAGAAGGTATCCTACCCTGAAACCATATTCCAACTTTCTGGAGTTCCCTTTACTTGGATTTTGCATTTTCGGGTTTGAGGTTCAGGTTAGGGTTTAGGGGACCCGGCTTCTGGAGTATACCCAGAGACTCCAAAACCCCTTAATTAAGGAATATACCTTAAATCATATTAGGATCCCTACTATAATTTAAGGTAGATTCCTTAATTAAGGGGTTTTGGAGTCTCCGGGTAGTATACGTTTGGGACGCAGGCTGTACGTTTTTAAGATGTTCAGGTCAGGAGGCTCCCGCCACCTCATTGGGTTGACTACTATTTGCTTAAGAACCCCCCCAAAAATATAAAATATATTCCTTATGGGGGCAATATAGGGATTATTATTTTTATTTTTTGGGTGCTTCTTAAGCAAATAGTAGTTGGGTTGTGGGTTATCACAGTGCTTTGTTCTCAGTCGATGTCTTGGATCTAATATTTCACACCATCTGCAGGCAGGGGAGGTCTGGTGGCATTCCTAAAAGACCCTTATAAAGCCTAAGCCGCAAGCCCCCAACTTGAAGTCCTAAGCCCTCACTTCTGAACCTCCAAGCACTAAACCCCTAAGCATTAGGCCCCCAAACCCTTAGAACCTAAATGGGAGTTTCTAAATATCGCGGACCCTAGTATAGTAACCTACATACAAGGATCCTTCTTATAAGGACCCCAAAATAAGGTACCCCTAATTTTCGGAAACTCCGATATCTTAAACCCTGCTCTAAGTAAACCCTAAACCCCCATTCCCAGAAACCCCAAAACCTGGGCCAAAGCTCCGCATTGAAACTGCAGTTGAGGGTTTAGGGTATTCCTATCGGAATCTAAGGTATATTCCTTAGTTAAAGGATTTTGGAAGGGCTGGGTAGGGCTTAGGGATCCCAACCCTAAGGTTTCCATGGGCCCGCACACTCTATACTTTGGTCCTGAAGTACCTATACCGAAGTTATATGTACAACAAATGTGTACATGGAGTCTTCGGGAAAGCCCTAAAACGCAAACCCTGACGTATCTAAAAGCTAACAAACTAAAGCCCTAGACCTCAAGGGTTTCCTGCTTAGGCTTCAGGGGTTAGGCTTGAGGACCTAGACTCGAGGTCTTTGGGAATTTAGGGTGCAACTCAGGGGTACTTA